GGGGAAACCTTGGTTGGACTCTCCTCCCGTCAGGGCGGGCGGCGGGTCGTGAGCTCACAAACACGCAGACAGGGGAAACTGGGAGCCAGGCCCCCCTCGCCTCCTTGCTCAGTCCCATGCGACAGGTACTTTATAGGATAACCATAGATATAATATACCTAGTGTCTAAACCTCATGCTGTTCTGTTCTTCACAGCAGCTGATTTATTTCCTGGAAAGACGTAATGCTGCTACTTGGCTTGACCCTAATGATCAACACTGGGCTGAACTCTCTCTGTGCTCAAAATCATTTTTCTTATGTTTTTTTTTGTGTACAGTCAGAGAAACTGGACGCCATTAGACTGGCCCTGACAGCAAGTCAACTAAAAAAAAAGGGGTTTTGTCCTGCACACACGGAGCTTGACAACATTGTGCAAAGACCAGAGATACTATTTAAATGAGAGTGAGAATGAGATGCAGCGACATCGTCAGGAGGAGCCGTCCCAGCACTGCAGAATGACAGTTTGCAATTGTCTCTGGAAGAGGACTAAAAACAAGGGACATGTGCAAAGAAGTGTCAGGGTTGCTGGGTGGAAGGCAGGACTCAGAGTTCAACAGGAACACAAAGGACTTTAATAGTCAATGGTCAAAAAACACAGGAACCGGGAGGAAAAACAGCAGGCAACATGTGTGACGAAAGACAATGACGCGACAAGTGACCCAGGAGACACACGGCTTAAATATACAAGGGAGGTGCAGGTGATTGGACACAGGTGGAAACTATTAGACGATCACAGGGGATGACGGGACAAGGCAGGAAGTGAAGTTACCCGGGGACACGAGTGGCAGAAAACTACAAAATACAACAGGAAGTGAAACCACACCGTGACAGTACCCCCCCCTCAAGGACCGACTTCCAGGTGGCTCACACTAGAGCAAAACAAGGGGTGGGGGGGCAGGGAAACCAGAGACGTTGGTCGGACCACCCGGGAAACTCCGGCGGGCGGCCCGGCGGGTGGCCAGACGAGCGGGGAGCCTCTGGGGGTCGGCCCGGCGGGCGGTCACCAAGCCGGCTCCGGAGCGGCGACTGCAGGGCACGGAACGTCTCTAGAATGGCAGGCTCGGAGACACGGGAAACCTCCGGGGTCGGCGGCGGCAGCTCGGGGACACGAGAAACCTCCGGGGTCGGCGCCGTCGGCTCGGGGACACGGGAAACCTCCGCGGTCGTCGCCGTCGGCTCGGGGACACGGGAAACCTCCGCGGTTGTCGCCGTCGGCTCGGGGACACGGAACACCTCCGTAGTCGGCTCCAGCTCGGGGACACGGAACACCTCCGCAGTCGGCGGCGGCTCAGCCCCCCCCATAACCCACCCCATAGCCCCCCCCTCAAGGGCCGGATCCCAGACGGCCCTCAAATCACCAACGGGAGGGTGGGAGAGGACCATGGGATGGGAGGGAGGGAGCCTGAGTCTCTGAGCGGGGACTGGGGGCGTCGGGGCCATGAGTCTCGGAGCGGGGACTGGGGGCGTCGGGGCCATGAGTCTCGGAGCGGGGACTGGCCGAGTCGGGGGCATGAGTCTCGGAGCGGGGACTGGCCGAGTCGGGGGCATGAGTCTCGGGGCCGGCACTGGTCGGGTCGGGGGCATGGAACGTGGGGCCGGCACTGGTCGGGTCGGGGGCATGGAACGTGGGGCCGGCACTGGTCGGGTCGGGGGCATGGAACGTGGGGCCGGCACTGGTCGGGTCGGGGGCATGGAACGTGGGGCCGGCACTGGTCGGGTCGGGGGCATGGATCGGGGCACTGGTCGGGTCGGGGGCATGGATCGGGGCACTGGTACTGGGGGCATGGATCGGGGCACTGGTACCGGGGGCATGGATCGGGGCACTGGTACCGGGGGCATGGATCGGGGCACTGGCTCGGGGGTCGGGGGCATGGATCGTGGCGCTGGCTCGGGGCTCGGGGGCATGGATCGGGGCGTCGGATCGGGGGTCATGGGCTTGGGTCGGGAGGCCGGGACGGGAATCTGCTGCGGCCCAGCGCGGGACATCTTGCGCTGCGACCGAGCGGGGTCGGGACGTCGCTGTGGCCCAGCGCTGGACATAGTGCGCTGCGGCCGAGCGTGGGGAGCATAGGTGGCCTGGAGTCGGACCGCAAGGTCCATTACCCGCTCCCAATGAGAATCGCCGCCGGACGACCACGAAATGGCCTCCTCCTCTGGGGACCATGTGGTAGGCGGCGGATGGTGACCCAGATGCCTACTGAGGGCTCCAGATGGGGAGACGGAGTAGTACAAGTACCCAGCTGGAACCCCCGGGAGGACCGTTCCCCCATTACCAGCAGCCCGCTGGAGACTCCGTGGACCGCCCATTGCCAGACGGGTTCCCCTGAACTCGTCCAGGGGAAAAAACTCTGCTGAGTCCTTTCTAGGTCGCATCATTCTGTCCAGGGGTGAGGGTGGAAGGCAGGACTCAGACGCAGAGTTCAACAGGAACACAAAGGACTTTAATAGTCAATGGTCAAAAAACACAGGAACCGGGAGGAAAAACAGCAGGCAACATGTGTGACGAAAGACAATGACGCGACAAGTGACCCAGGAGACACACGGCTTAAATATACAAGGCAGGTGCAGGTGATTGGACACAGGTGGAAACTATTAGACGATCACAGGGGATGACGGGACAAGGCAGGAAGTGAAGTTACCCGGGACCACGAGTGGCAGAAAACTACAAAATACAACAGGAAGTGAAACCCACACCGTGACAAGAAGAATGAATGAAGAATGAAAGAATGCTTCCACCTATTTTGAAATAAAATACAAACATGATATATATAACACCCTGAACCTAGATACTGCTGGGACCTTTTCAACTCACCGGGTTGTGGTCTTGAAGGATTTATGGGCGCCTTTCTAAAAAAGAGGAACAAAAATTTCAACACCAGTATAATTTTAAGTAAAGCACCATTTTGAGTATTTTATTTTTAAAAGTTGAACTTACTTTGGTTTTTGAATCTGTACAGAGAGGATTTGGTGAAAGGCCAATCTAACCGCTACTGCCCCTTAATACACTAACCTGCAGTATTGACTTTACAAGTATTGACTTTACAAGACTTGAAACCAAATAATACATCAAAAAACAACTGTGCCAATGCTTGTACCACGTTCATCACGTTTGTCTTCGCTGGCCATGGAGCTGCTCTGGTGGGGCTTCCTTTAAGGCATTTTCACTCTTTCTCATTTTCATGCTTGAAATCTTTCTCGGAGCCATGTTATTAAACGGTGTTTAAGTGCAATATGCTTCCAAGCAGTAGTTATTATAAATGTATTGATTATCGTGTTGTTGTTAAAAATTGTGACAGTTGGTTATCGTGCTAACTGTCTCCAAATACGATTAAATATTCGGGTGACATTATTTCCCGCCTACGACTACAGGAAAACAAGTGCTGCGTTCATATGCTATCGGAAATACTGTCATTTTCCGTTAGATGAACCACTCCCAAACCTAGCCATAGAAACATTAACTAGGCACAGACCCACATACGTAATAAGAGAGGAAAGTCCGTCTCCGACCAACCTTTGAATCCGTCCACCTGAGCGTTACACTTTTTTACATTTTCATGTATCTTCCAAAACTGAGTTTTATTTTACAACATGAATATGTGCGTAAACACTGTTCCCAGAGTTAAAACTAAAAACAGAAGCAGCATTCCGTTTTTCTGCTCCACAAATCTGGAACAAAGTCCCAGAAACCTGCAGGTCTTTTAAATACGGGTGAAAGACTTTTTGTTTTTTGCTGCTGCCTTTAATTAACCGTTTAATTCTTCTTCTTTGTATTACACGGTTACAATAACAAGAGTAATACTTTCTGTATGTGTTGATATTGATTTCTTTACAGTATATTATAGTTATTAAATAACTATTACATAATCAATGTACAACGATCGTGATATTTCCGACAGTGCATGAACGCGTCTCCACCAGTTCCCTGAGCGGAAAAGAAGAAGCCATCTCATTTCGTCTTCCTCCGCTTGTATCACAACATCTGATCTGCAGTTCGGGATCTTTCGGTGAAAAATGCCCCCCAAAACCACCAAAAAGGCGATTAGAGACGCGTTGGCGAACCTTCCAAAGGATGATTTTGAAGCGTTCTGCCATGCGCTCATCGATCGCCCTGGACCGCCGAACGTTCCCTACAACAAGGTGGAGGGTAAAAGCTTCTTACTGATCGCCGATGTCTTGATGTCAACTTTTACCGAAGCCAAAGCTCCTTCGGTGACTGCAGAGCTGCTGGAAGAAATCGGCTGTAAACAACAGGCAACTCAACTCCGTAAGTATCCGAGGCTTCCTGGTTTCCAGGTGTTCCCAGAGTCTTTATTCGGCTTTTAAGATGCTTCAACCCCTGCGGGCAATTAAGCTGACAGATGACAGCTTTTAATTAACCAAGTGATCATTTGCAGCATCGACGATTTTCCACAGGAATGGGTTCGAAAAGTTATTAAAAAAAAATATATATTTTTACTTTCACTTTGGAGCTCCGCCACTACCGGGCAAGCCACACATCGGTGGATCGGGCAGAAAAATAAGTACTACTATTATTCCTACTATTACTATTATTCTCTGCGGCAGAATATTAAAGTCATTCTCTATAGTCTGAGATGTTCAGACTTCATCTCCTTTATCGAGCAAACCTCAGAGGGTTTTCTGCTCTTGTTGATGCTGGCCAATAGAAGGCAATGGCGCGTCGACCCATCTGGAGCGCCCCTCCTTCAGCCCCCCTAAAGAAAAGATAATACTAAATGACAGCAAATGTTAATATTTTTGGTTTTGAAACATGGAATGTATCCAGTAATGTTTGTAAAATATTATATCTGCGGAAAATATAGGATTTTACTGCTTGTGCACGTCTTGCGTGTGTCATGCGCGTTCTCGATGCACTAAAGGGGGAATCTCGAGAGTCTAAGAAGCACTTGAGCAACATTGACCCCAGCCTGTCTGGTATCGACAGGCGTGTGACTTGGAGGAATTGTAAAGTTGTAAATCCACCATGGCGTGCGCACAAAACCAGAGCCTCCCCTAAGTTGAACGCAGCTATAATACATTTATTAAAAAACACCATGTGCTTGGAACAACACAGCATCCTTACAAAAGAATAAAGGGATTTTAACCACAGTGAAATTTGCACAGACTTTGCCACAAGTTCACTAACGATGATACACATTTAGCTGTGGATTTATTCTCCCCTCAAACATGTCATGTGCCGGTAAGAACCGGAGGAGAAACTGGCTGAGCGGGAATGTTTTAACGAGCAGTTCATACACGTTGCAGTTTTGGATTCAGTGGAATTATGCCCAACCCCACGGAGCCCCGTTCCTGTTAAGACAGACAATAACAGAACGTTTACATTTATCCTGTAGCTCGCGTTGTAAATCCACCATGGTTCTTTTTCTGTCAACGTTATCTCAAACCTTTTTGTTCTATTTTCACAGTGAAAGAGACCAGTGGACAGTCCAGTAACTGTGAGTCATTTGTTAAAAGTTGTAATAGAGTATTTACAGTATTACAAGTCATTTAGTATCATATTTATTGTAGAAGATTAGGATAGAATACAACTGCCAGTAAATTATTTTCACTATCAAATTTTTATTTAATTTTGAATGTAGCAGGTTTGCTGCTCTGTTTGGAGAGACTAATGATAGATGAGAGGGAGTTTGGATTAATATCTACACCACCAGGACTGCTTTTCCTGTTGCACGGTCTTTATTTTCTGTGTGTATGAGAACACTGAAACGCTCCATCACAAAACATTTGAAATGTTCCATGAATTTGTTTCAGCCGGAGCAGCTGGTGTGAACACCACGGCACGACATGGCAGGGCAGGTAGCGGCACGTCTTCTTTGTTGATTTAATTCATCAGCCACTGATCGGATTGTTAGAAATTCCAGAACGTCCCCATTGAACCTCATTTCTGTGTTGCTGCACGGTTGGATGTTTAGAACAGGTGCAACTTGTTCTCCAAACACAGCACATGCTGCAGAGCAATGAACGGAGCAGACGAGTGCAGCGTGTTGTTAGTTTGACACTTTTAGAAATTTGTATTCTGTCGTCATGGAGTCATTGTTTCTTCTCTCCCCAGAGAAACACTTTGTGGATGAACACAGAACTGTGCTGATCGACAGAGTGACCAACGTTGCGTCCATTTTGGATGACCTCCTCCATGAAGAAGTCATCTCGAAGGTGCATTATGATGAAATCATGGCTCTCTCTCCCCGTCAGTCTCAAATGAGGAAGCTCTATGATCCCCTGTACGGTGCTGGACGTGCCGCCAAAGAAGTCTTCTTCAAAAGCCTCCAGGCACATGAGAATCATCTCATCCAAGATCTCCAGAAAAAGGAATGAATGTTCATTACAAAAATAACATTAGAAAGTGTGGGGGGTAATATTCAAACGACTGACCTCCTGTTAGATTAAAATTAGTGGACTTGGATGAGATGTGGTGCCTCTTCCACCTGAATGTTCATTACAAAAATAACAAGGTGAAGGGAGGGGGGGTAATCTTCAAACAACTGATCAGTTTTAAGAGAGAAATGAACTAATTGATATTTTAATATAAATCAAAACATGCTTGATCATGAAAGCAGGTTTAATCTCTGATTTCTATTCCCATGTACGCTATTGAGTTCATTCAAGTTTTCTATTTGGAAATTTATATAAATTGATAATAAAGTCTTATGATTTTGCTTTTTGTGTTCTTGACTTTTTCAGTGAATGCAGTTTACAAAAAAAATGGATATAAGTTAAATATAATGATGGAATAGGGTTTAGAAACAGACATCTCCTGATTACATTTAAAATAACATGTTACTGTGCACATCGATGTTAACATTCATTAAATGAAGGTGAACGAGAGGAGAGGCATGAACACCTGCTGATGGGTTTCCTTTTGAGTTTGTTGGGAATTTTGTTTTGGATAATTATTGTACATTGACCAAAATCCGTAAATCAACAGCCTTCCTGGTTACACTACAGCGTCTTGCCCAAGTGTCCTTGGGCAAGACACTTAACCCCAGCATCGCTCCTGTTGCATCATTGTGTGAATGATGACATGGAAGTTCTCTGAGTGGTGGAATTTAGCTCAAACTACATTTAGCTAATGTTTTAACTAACACTAGTCTCCAAACAAAAGCCTTTTTAGAGAAATCATAAGGGAACCTCGTTTTTTTTCTCGCTCTGAATTCTCCTTCTGACAACTGCAGGTGAAATTAATGTAAATTAATATGTATCAGTGGTTTGGTCAAGCTGGTGCTATTGTGAAATAAAGCCCAGCATCACAAACATTAAGATAAGAGCCATCATAAATAACTTAAATCAATTTAAGTTATATATATATATACTAACATGCACATATTAGTATTTTGTTATGCTGTTGATACAATATAATTAAGCTATTCAAGTATTGTATTGGTTTTGACAGTTATTTTTACTTTTTCTTTTAATTGACTGATGTTACTTCAAAAGCAATTGATGCAGTTTTAACAAATATTAGCTATCTTAGCTAACATGATTTAACTGGGGATCTTGGATTTAATTAAGCGACTGGAAGAAGCGTGTTTCAGTTTTATATCGTTTTCCAGGTCAAATGTTTATTCGTACATCACTTTTTTGCTTTATATTATCAAAACATTGGAAGACCGCAATGAGGGAAAACACAATGAGTGGATACAAAATGAGGAATAGATACAAAAATGTATTTATTATATACAAAATAAAACGCAACATAGTGTCACGGTGTGGTTTTATTTCCTGTCTTATTTTGTAGTTTTCTGCTTCTTGTCTCCCTGGGTAACTTCACTTCCTGCCTTGTCCTGTCATCGTCTGTGATTGTCTGATTGTTTCCACCTGTGTCCAATCACCTGCACCTCCCTAGTGTATTTAAGCGGTGTGTGTCTCCTGTCACTTGTCGTGTCATTGTCTGTCAATCGTCCTGGATGTTTCCTATTGTTTGTCCTGGATGTCACTAGTTCCTGCCTGCCTTTTTGCCCGTTGGCCTTTTGCTTTGTTTCTGCCTTTTGACTATTAAAGTCTTTTTGTTTTCTAAAAAACTCTGCATTTGAGTCCTGCCTCCCACGCAACCCCTGACACAAAGAGTCAGTAATTATAATAGAAAATTTAAAACATAATGGAAGAGAACATTATTTTGTATTGACACAACATCTGGGCGTCAGTGGTTAAAACAAAGGATCTTGAAAGTGGAAATAACACTTTAAAAGGATTTAAAATGATTTCTGAAGCAGAAGTGTCCCGTTAAATGAAACCGTCTCCTCTGCGTACTCTGGAAGGGACACAGACACACACGGCTCCAAAAGTCAAAGGTTAAACCCGTTTTCATGGTGAACATGTTTTAGTTCATATGAAAATAATTTAGTGAACTCAATAGTGTACATGGGAATAGAAATCAGAGGTTAAACCTGCTTTCATGATCAAGTGTGTTTTGATTTATATTAAAATATCAGTTAGTTCATTTCTCACGTGATTATCTGATAAACATTCAAATGGATGCTCAAATTTGAATTAAAACGTATCTCATTTTGAGCATCGCTGATCAGGTGGAAGAGGCACCACATCTCATACAAGTCCACTAATTTTAATCTAACAGGAGGTCAGTCGTTTGAATATTACCCCCCACACTTTCCACTGTTATTTTTGGAATGAACATTCACTCCTTTTTCTGAAGATCTTTCATGAGAAATTTCTCCTTCTTCTCGAGGATTTTGTAGAAGAGGTCTTTGCCGGCACGTCCAGAACCGTCCAGGAGATCACAGAGCTCCCTCATCCGATCCCTCCTAGTAGTGAGAGCCATGATTTCATCATAATCCCCCTTCGAGATGACTTCTTCATCGATGAGGTCATCCAAAATGGGCGCAACGTTGGTCACTCTGTTGATCAGCGCAGTTCTGTGTTTATCCACAAAGTGTTTCTCTGGGGAGAGAAGAAACAATGACTCCACGACGACAGAATACAATTTCCCAAAAGTGTTCATTGCTCTGCAGCATGTGCTGTGTTTGGAGAACAAGTTGCACCTGTTCTAAACATCCAACCGTGCAGCAACACAGAAATGAGGTTCATTGGGGACGTTCTGGATTTTCTAACAATCGGATCAGTGGCTGATGAATTATATTAGCAAAGAAGACGTGCCGCTACCTGCGCTGCCATCTCGCGCCGTGGTGTTCACACCAGCTGCTCCGGCTGAAACAAATTCATGGAACGTTTCAATTGTTTTGTGATGGAGTGTTTCAGTGTTCTCATACACAGCAAATAAAGAGATCACCTGTCAGGGTGGAAATAGAACACTAAGAAAAGTCAAATATTTTTACGGCACTTAAATCGTCCTCGACTTCATCTTCCTGATTTTAAAACACATTCTGCAAGTCAGCTTGATAAATGTAGAGTCAAGCAGTGTGACACAGGAAAAGTCTGCCCTTGGACAACAAAAAATACACAATCTGCAGATCTAAAATGATTGTCATTGCATTGATTTGGGTTTCATCTAAAGTTACAGATTGAGTTGTTTTCCAAAGGACAGATTTAAATTTAAAGTAATTTGATCAATTTTACGCGTTCTGCAATCCAAATTGCACGTATTGGTAATAATCCTCTTGTTAATAATACAATGTCTTACCAGTGCTTTGGTATACATCTGAAAAGAAAATGCAAAGATTTATTAAATATATATATGCAGCGTATTTACTGCCATATATATATATACATATATATATATATAATTAGATTAACTAAAAGTGGTACTTTATTAAATATTTTATGATGACCTTTGCGAATTGCACAGGTCCAAACTGCTTGACTCTCATTTTCTTTTGAGAGCTTGAGCTTGAAGTTTGTTTCTGGATTGTCAATGAACACTTCGAAGAAATTTGGGTCTGTGCTTTCGTACCGGAGCATCAAGGTCTGCAAAGGGAAGAAAAAAAGGGACTTTGAGCTTAAAAAAACAAGAATAAACACAAGTATAGGTAAATAAGATTGTGGGGTTATTTTTACTTCCATTAAAGAGACAGTGAGACAAGATATGAAGGAAATATCTGCTGTATAAATAACAGAACTCAAGGGTGGTGGAACCCTTGAGGTCGGACAGGTCTTGATACTTCATCACTCCAGCAGCTGGAGAAAGGAAACGTCTGTACGTCACGGTTCTCGAGAGCTACCACAAATATAGGAAAATGAGACTTCAGCACGTCACAAACATGTTTGTTCCGTGTTTAAAATATGCACTGTCACTATGGTATCCAACGCTTTTAGAAAATTGAAAAGCAGCTGCAAACATACCTCAGGAGAAATCTCTGCTTTTTCCAAATCTGCGGTTAAGATGAAACAATCCTTCATTTTCAGGGACTTCTCTGGGTGTGGCTTTCGGATGAGTTTGTATCCATAGGACAACATCCTCTTGTCCAATTCCTACAGAAGAAAACACTGCAAGGTTAAAGCAGCCAAAATCTTCTGCATTTCCTCAAAGTTATATGAGGTGTCATTCCCAATCTCATTATCATCGGTAATTCCAGTGAAATATTAAATAACCTGCTGCAGACCCAGATCACGTGGGATCAGGTACACATGGAGCGTGAGGAAGTCCGTGTTGGTCTTGTATATCAACACGTTACAGTCAACTTCGAATCGACAACCCCATCTCACCAGGAGCATTTTTAGAGAGAAAACAGGCTCAGACAGCTTGACATGGGACGATGTGACCTGGGACACTTTTTCCACATCATCTCCACAGTCCTCTATGTGCAGGACTGCGAACTTGTCCAATATCTCAGGATTGTTTTCTATACAGAACAAGAGCAAACAAAATGAGTGAGCAGAAATGATTGTTGTGTTGATATGTCTTCATGTCCACTTACCGATGCAGATCCAGTGTCGCAGGTACACTTCATCAAACTTCCCAGCAATCACTGTGATGTCCATCAGGGGACCGGCAGGCATGTATTGCAGGCTTCGGATCCTCTCCATGAGGACTTCATGAGACCCCATGTAGAGAAACTGGTACTTAAAGCTGACCGTTCCATTGCAGATCCAGCGCAAGCCAGAGACGCTGCATTCAAAGCTTCCTGCTTCGGACTGCAGGCTAAACATGAAAAAGAAAACAAGCGAGCTGAAAAGTATCGTCAGTATTACTCTCACATTGCGTCACAGCACTTGAGACATGTTTTAGTTTTCCTTTCATAAAACTTAAAACTTTCAAGAACCAAGTTTCCCTCCAGTTGGCTGTGCCTCAGGATGTGATGTTTTTACCTGTAAGTTGGAGCCTCATCAGTACCTTTCCTGTCCTCTTCAGGTTCCAGTTGAGTCCATTCACCAGAGTCCTGCAGAGAACAATACTTTTTTAAAAGGAGCTAAGATCCTTCTTCTCGCTAGATTCCATATATTAAAAAATAAAATAAATGTTAGGACTTACGCTGATGCTTTCACAACCTCCTGAAGGTCCTTTTGAAGACATGAATGATAAGTTCAGAATATGTTACATATTATGAACTATTTATTATGTTGATATATGAAATCATCTGCAACAATAATGAAATAATGATTTGACTACAGGAAGTTCTATTCGTTATTTCTGGGTGTGATCTAGCTTACGGCAATAACATTGGTTCAAATCACCTCAAACTGTGTCACGGTGGAGGATCCCTCAACCCAACAACTCCCAGTATCCTTCATTCACTGCAGTAATTCATACAGTAGAAATGATTTTGATACCAGTCGGGCTAATATGTTAATAAGGGTAGTTTTTACATGGACAGAGCCAACACAAACAAAATATAACGTTCAGAAGAAACACACAAGTCCTCTGGACTGCCCATATTCAAATAATAAAATCCTCTACCTTTGAATCCTGAGCTGGTATCAGATGAACTCAGTGATGATTCCATCTCCTTTAAAACCTCCTCCGACCAACATTGTTTTATGTTTCTATATCTCGTCGTACGGGATCGTCGTGATTTGCTCTGATGGATTCAAAAAAGTCAAAAGTCATTTTACCTCCACCGTTTGTGTCACTACTAGGAGCTACTGTTTCTTTTTCATGACTGGATAATTGCTTTTATCAACAAATATTAAATGTTTAGGAACAACAGGAAATTCTTAAAACTACAATCCGTAACTGTACTTTCTCAACTCTCTTCAACTCTCCCTGTGCCACTGAGAGTGGGAATGATGAGATGTTTCAGTCATTTCTACAGCAGATGTTTCTGCTTAAAAAAAAGTCCTACCGGTATAGGGGAGGAAATAGGAATTTCTTCAGAACTTTTCCATCCCAACTCTGTAGAAAAAGAAAACATGAAAATGACACATTACGTTGCTTTTAAAGAAAATCAAATACTATTCTTTTCATTCCTGAATAAATAAAGTTTAAACCCAAATTCACAATCTGTGTATTAGAGTCATAAGAAACAAATGGTGGTGCAATGAATCAGTTTCTGTCTCTTGTCTCTGACCTTTGAGTCCCCGGCTGGTCTCTGGCAACGTCTCCGCCGGGACGATCCTCATGTCCATTAGAACCTCCTCGGTCACCTCAAGAGACTGTGGCTTGTGCTCCATCAGCACTACGAGTTGATATGCAGTTTCTGTGCATTCCAGTGTGCTCCATGAGATGTTCGGGAGACTCTTCCTGAAATACGTGAACTGCAGCAGCCACTTGAATTTCTCAAACTCCTCGATACTCAACGCTTTGACTTTTGGTAGAAGACTCATTTCCACAGCTGCTGTTTGTTTTTTCAACTGAAAAATTGTTGTTGAAAGGAAATGTAACATTTTTTTACTGGGACGGTTAAAGATTTGTTTCATTGCATTTTGTCAGTGTTTTAGAGGAAAAACAGAGAGCTTTTATTTTAAGACAATGAGACACAAATATCTGATTTAATTAAGTTGATTGCATTGTTCCCTTTCAAATGCAAAGTATTGTGTATTTATTTATTGTATTTATCAAAAGATGAATGCTCTCATCTTTCAACCAACCAAGTCATTAAATGATTTTCTCATCTCCACTTCAGTAGTAGAGCAGCAGAACATTAATCATATCTTTCGTTAGATGAAATGATAACTTAAGAGCTTAACCGTAACGACGTGAGAGCAATCCAATTTTTAATAATTGTTTATTTTTTATCGTTGTGATGTTTAATGTCAGACTCACTCTTTGCTTTGACAGTGCAGCGTGATGTTTTTCCACAGAAGGTTCCTCTGAGGAGAAGAGAAAGAGTTAAATGACTCAGGGGATTATAATAAAATGTTATATAGAGAATAGGATCGACTATAATAAGGCTCAGTGAATTTAAAAGGAGAAAATTTGAATTTGAAGCATTAAAAAAGACTTGCAACCCGGACTAAACTCTGTGAACTTTTTGGATGACTTGTGTTTGTGATTGAATGAATTATTCAATTAACTATTTATTGATCCCGCTCCAGTTTTCAAGCTCTACTCAGGTTGAGGTCTACTTTTAAATGATCATTCCATAATGTATTTATGAGACCTTTGATTACGTAATGTGACAGCTTTCCTATCTTCTCTGATCTACCTGTGAGTCCTAAGCTGGACGCTGACAATTTCTGCATCAGATCGTTCCTGTTCATTTTCTCCATGACTTCTCTCGTTAAATCCAGAGAGCGTCGGCCATAAGTCTGCATCATCTCGTCCACCGTGTCTGCAGCGTCACTCGGTCCAAACCAGATCCATTGGTGTTCCTTCTGGGAGACAATCAACTGCAGGAGCTCCTTGAATTTCTGGAGCTCCTTGTTCCTAAAACCAGTGAGGGTTTCCAAAAGCACCTGTTTCACTGCCGCCATTGTTGCTACCTGAAATGATCAATGCATTGGTGAGTCTCCTTGCACCTCATTAATGGAAGTAAATGTACATTCTGCCATCAACATTACAGTATGTTCACTTTCCCAATTCTTCCTTGCCTTAAATTCTTACAGAGCTCATTTATAAGTTAGTTTCTATATTTTTTGACGTGCATTTGTTGAAATAAAGCTTTGCTATGTAGAGTCGGACGGATGTGACATTACTCACTTTCTGGATCAGTGCAGGTCGCTCTACTTTGGAATGTTTCTCTGAAACACGAATGTGACAAAAGTTATGAGCTACTGGTCTTCACAGATAAACTTAATCATCAGAATGTATTGCCTCGTCAAAATGTCCACACAATTAGACCTGAACGTCAACACTTTTGACCCCATCTCCAATTTCTTCTCATGTTTTACATTCATAGCCTTTAAATCGATGTTCTACACCAAATGCTGCTTATTTTCTCTGCATTAAAAAGGATCCTACTTTTGGGTCCCGGGCTGCTTGGAGGCAATTTCTTCTTCAGATCGGTCCTCTCGAAATGCTCCATGAGCTTCATCAAAGACTGTTGGCCGTAGCTCAGCACCATTAAAAACACGGTGTCCTGCTTGTCTCTCCTGCTCAGTAGCCTCCACGGGAAGTCTGAGGAAGGTCTGCTGAACGCGATTTCACTCAGGAGAAGCTGCTGAAAACGCTTGAACTCTGAGGAAGTCAAATCCATCACAGTTTCCAAAAGCAGCTCAATAAGAGACGCCATCGCTTCCACCTGGTGAATTCAAAGCAAATTTTTACGTCAGCACTGATAGGAGTGACCATATTTGCCATATTTATCTCATTAGCCACTTTTTAAAAACGGATTGTTTCTGCATGGATCAAGTAACATCAATGTGGTTTACCTTTGTCTCCCCCAACGATGATTTATTCTATTAAAGAAACAACACGTGATGTTTAGTGTCATCTGGTTTTGAGTTACTAAATACTTAATTGGAATGTATTTACATTTGAAATACAACTAAATATTGTTTGTAGAGGAGCAAGTTAAAGAAAAAAAGTAAAAAAGTAAAATACAGGAAATTCTTAAAACTAGAATCCGTAACTTTACTGCAGTGGCACAGGGAGAGTTGACTCTTCCACTCTCCCTGTGCCACTGAGAGTGGGAATGATGAGATGTTCGCGTCATTTATACAGGCGAAGAAAATGTCCTACCGGTATAGGGGAGGAAATAGGAATTTCTTCAGAACTTTTCCATCCCAACTCTGTAGAAAAAGAAAACATGAAAATGACACATTACGTTGCTTTTAAAGAAAATCAAATACTATTCTTTTCATTCCTGAATAAATAAAGTGTAAACCCAAGTTCACAATCTGTGTATTAGAGTCATAAGAAACAAATGGTGGTGCAATGAATCAGTTTCTGTCTCTTGTCTCTGACCTTTGAGTCCCCGGCTGGTCTCTGGCAACGTCTCCGCCGGGACGATCCTCATGTCCATTAGAACCTCCTCGGTCACCTCAAGAGACTGTGGCTTGTGCTCCATCAGCACTACGAGTTGATATGCAGTTTCTGTGCATTCCAGTGTGCTCCATGAGATGTTCGGGAGACTCTTCCTGAAATACGTGAACTGCAGCAGCCACTTGAATTTCTCAAACTCCTCGATACTCAACGCTTTGACTTTTGGTAGAAGACTCATTTCCACAGCTGCTGTTTGTTTTTTCAACTGAAAAATTGTTGTTGAAAGGAAATGTAACATTTTTTTACTGGGACGGTTAAAGATTTGTTTCATTGCATTTTGTCAGTGTTTTAGAGGAAAAACAGAGAGCTTTTATTTTAAGACAATGAGACACAAATATCTGATTTAATTAAGTTGATTGCATTGTTCCCTTTCAAATGCAAAGTATTGTGTATTTATTTATTGTATTTATCAAAAGATGAATGCTCTCATCTTTCAATCAACCAAGTCATTAAATGATTTTCTCATCTCCACTTCAGTAGTAGAGCAGCAGAACATTAATCATATCTTTCGTTAGATGAAATGATAACTTAAGAGCTTAACCGTAACGACGTGAGAGCAATCCAATTTTTAATAATTGTTTATTTTTTATCGTTGTGATGTTTAATGTCAGACTCACTCTTTGCTTTGACAGTGCAGCGTGATGTTTTTCCACAGAAGGTTCCTCTGAGGAGAAGAGAAAGAGTTAAATGACTCAGGGGATTATAATAAAATGTTATATAGAGAATAGGATCGACTATAATAAGGCTCAGTGAATTTAAAAGGAGAAAATTTGAATTTGAAGCATTAAAAAAGACTTGCAACCCAGACTAAACTCTGTGAACTTTTTGGATGACTTGTGTTTGTGATTGAATGAATTATTCAATTAACTATTTATTGATCCCGCTCCAGTTTTCAAGCTCTACTCAGGTTGAGGTCTACTTTTAAATGATCATTCCATAATGTATTTATGAGACCTTTGATTACGTAATGTGACAGCTTTCCTATCTTCTCTGATCTACCTGTGAGTCCTAAGCTGGACGCTGACAATTTCTGCATCAGATCGCTCCTGTTCATTTTCTCCATGACTTCTCTCGTTAAATCCAGAGAGCGTCGGCCGCAAGTCTGCATCATCTCGTCCACCGTGTCTGCAGCGTCACTCGGTCCAAACCAGATCCATTGGTGTTCCTTCTGGGAGACAATCAACTGCAGGAGCTCCTTGAATTTCTGGAGCTCCTTGTTCCTAAAACCAGTGAGGGTTTCCAAAAGCACCTGTTTCACTGCCGCCATTGTTGCTACCTGAAATGATCAATGCATTGGTGAGTCTCCTTGCACCTCATTAATGGAAGTAAATGTACATTCTGCCATCAACATTACAGTATGTTCACTTTCCCAATTCTTCCTTGCCTTAAATTCTTACAGAGCACATTTATAAGTTAGTTTCTATATTTTTTGACGTGCATTTGTTGAAATAAAGCTTTGCTATGTAGAGTCGGACGGATGTGACATTACTCACTTTCTGGATCAGTGCAGGTCGCTCTACTTTGGAATGTTTCTCTGAAACACGAATGTGACAAAAGTTATGAGCTACTGGTCTTCACAGATAAACTTAATCATCAGAATGTATTGCCTCGTCAAAATGTCCACACAATTAGACCTGAACGTCAACACTTTTGACCCCATCTCCAATTTCTTCTCATGTTTTACATTCATAGCCTTTAAATCGATGTTCTACACCAAATGCTGCTTATTTTCTCTGCATTAAAAAGGATCCTACTTTTGGGTCCCGGGCTGCTTGGAGGCAATTTCTTCTTCAGATCGGTCCTCTCGAAATGCTCCATGAGCTTCATCAAAGACTGTTGGCCGTAGCTCAGCACCATTAAAAACACGGTGTCCTGCTGGTCTCTCCTGCTCAGTAGCCTCCACGGGAAGTCTGAGGAAGGTCTGCTGAACGCGATTTCACTCAGGAGAAGCTGCTGAAAACGCTTGAACTCTGAGGAAGTCAAATCCATCACAGTTTCCAAAAGCAGCTCAATAAGAGACGCCATCGCTTCCACCTGGTGAATTCAAAGCAAATTTTTACGTCAGCACTGATAGGAGTGACCATATTTGCCATATTTATCTCATTAGCCACTTTTTAAAAACGGATTGTTTCTGCATGGATCAAGTAACATCAATGTGGTTTACCTTTGTCTCCCCCAACGATGATTTATTCTATTAAAGAAACAACACGTGATGTTTAGTGTCATCTGGTTTTGAGTTACTAAATACTTAATTGGAATGTATTTACATTTGAAATACAACTAAATATTGTTTGTAGAGGAGCAAGTTAAAGAAAAAAAGTAAAAAAGTAAAATACAGGAAATTCTTAAAACTAGAATCCGTAACTTTACTGCAGTGGCACAGGGAGAGTTGACTCTTCCACTCTCCCTGTGCCACTGAGAGTGGGAATGATGAGATGTTCGCGTCATTTATTATTACAGGCGAAGAAAATGTCCTACCGGAGAAGAGCTGACATAAAAACATTCTTCAGACCATGACTTCGATCGTGTCTCTGAAGAGAAAGAAAACATGAAAATGACACATTACGTTGCTTTTAAAGAAAATCAAATACTATTCTTTTCATTCCTGAATAAATAAAGTGTAAACCCAAGTTCACAATCTGTGTATTAGAGTCATAAGAAACAAATGGTGGTGCAATGAATCAGTTTCTGTCTCTTGTCTCTGACCTTTGAGTCCCCGGCTGGTCTCTGGCAACGTCTCCGCCGGGACGATCCTCATGTCCATTAGAACCTCCTCGGTCACCTCAAGAGACTGTGGCTTGTGCTCCATCAGCACTACGAGTTGATATGCAGTTTCTGTGCATTCCAGTGTGCTCCATGAGATGTTCGGGAGACTCTTCCTGAAATACGTGAACTGCAGCAGCCACTTGAATTTCTCAAACTCCTCGATACTCAACGCTTTGACTTTTGGTAGAAGACTCATTTCCACAGCTGCTGTTTGTTTTTTCAACTGAAAAATTGTTGTTGAAAGGAAATGTAACATTTTTTTACTGGGACGGTTAAAGATTTGTTTCATTGCATTTTGTCAGTGTTTTAGAGGAAAAACAGAGAGCTTTTATTTTAAGACAATGAGACACAAATATCTGATTTAATTAAGTTGATTGCATTGTTCCCTTTCAAATGCAAAGTATTGTGTATTTATTTATTGTATTTATCAAAAGATGAATGCTCTCATCTTTCAACCAACCAAGTCATTAAATGGTTTTCTCATCTCCACTTCAGTAGTAGAGCAGCAGAACATTAATCATATCTTTCGTTAGATGAAATGATAACTTAAGAGCTTAACCGTAACGACGTGAGAGCAATCCAATTTTTAATAATTGTGTATTTTTTATCGTTGTGATGTTTAATGTCAGACTCACTCTTTGCTTTGACAGTGCAGCGTGATGTTTTTCCACAGAAGGTTCCTCTGAGGAGAAGAGAAAGAGTTAAATGACTCAGGGGATTATAATAAAATGTTATATAGAGAATAGGATCGACTATAATAAGGCTCAGTGAATTTAAAAGGAGAAAATTTGAATTTGAAGCATTAAAAAAGACTTGCAACCCGGACTAAACTCTGTGAACTTTTTGGATGACTTGTGTTTGTGATTGAATGAATTATTCAATTAACTATTTATTGATCCCGCTCCAGTTTTCAAGCTCTACTCAGGTTGAGGTCTACTTTTAAATGATCATTCCATAATGTATTTATGAGACCTTTGATTACGTAATGTGACAGCTTTCCTATCTTCTCTGATCTACCTGTGAGTCCTAAGCTGGACGCTGACAATTTCTGCATCAGATCGCTCCTGTTCATTTTCTCCATGACTTCTCTCGTTAAATCCAGAGAGCGTCGGCCGCAAGTCTGCATCATCTCGTCCACCGTGTCTGCAGCGTCACTCGGTCCAAACCAGATCCATTGGTGTTCCTTCTGGGAGACAATCAACTGCAGGAGCTCCTTGAATTTCTGGAGCTCCTTGTTCCTAAAACCAGTGAGGGTTTCCAAAAGCACCTGTTTCACTGCCGCCATTGTTGCTACCTGAAATGATCAATGCATTGGTGAGTCTCCTTGCACCTCATTAATGGAAGTAAATGTACATTCTGAAATAAAATAAATAAAGCTTTGCTGTGTAGAGTCGGATGGCTGTGACATTACTCACTTTCTGGATCAGTGCAGGTCGCTCTACTTTGGAATTTTTCTCTGAAACACGAATGTGACAAAAGTTATGAGCTACTGGTCTTCACAGATAAACTTAATCATCAGAATGTATTACCTCGTCAAAATGTCCACACAATTAGACCTGAACGTCAACATTTTTGACCCCATCTCCAATTTCTTCTAATATTTTACATTCATAGCCTTTAAGTCGATGTTCTACACCAAATTCTCCTTATTTTCTCTGTATTGAAAAGGATCCTACTTTTGGGTCCCGGGCTGCTTGGAGGCAATTTATTCTTCAGATCGGTCCTCTCGAAATACTTTAAATGCTCCTTAATCATCGTCAAAGACTGTTGGCCGTAGCTCAGCACCATTAAAAACACGGTGTCCTGCTTGTCTCTCCTGCTCAGTAGCCTCCACGGGAAGTCTGAGGAAGGTCTGTCGAAGTCAATTTCATTCAGGAGAAACTGCTGAAAACGCTTGAACTCTGAGGAAGTCAAATCCATCACAGTTTCCAAAAGCAGCTCAATAAGAGACGCCATCGCTTCCACCTGGTGAATTCAAAGCAAATTTTCACGTCAGCACTGATAGGAGTGACCATATTTGCCATATTTATCTCATTAGCCACTTTCTAAAAACGGATTGTTTCTGCATGGATCAAGTAACATCAATGTGGTTTACCTTCGTCTCCCCCAACGACATGACTTTCTTTTCACTTCCTGGTTGGAAATCTTTTAAAAACGGCTCCAAAAGCTGCAAAGAGCATCTTGATTTAAAACATGTTTAACCAGTTAAATATTTTCTTATAATATATAAAAGTATCGAACACATATATTTTGAATTTATCTTTCTGTGAAAGTTAGAAAAAAACCAAGAAGAATTTACTAAATATACCTCTTAATGTTTGTATTATTGTAAGAGTGGTGTGAAACTACTCACACTGTGGATCAGCGGGGACTGCTGCTCTGAGAACAAAAGAAAATAAATATGAAAATCATTTTCCAGCGCTAAAATGTTTGATGGAATCATATGTAGTTGTTATTACACACCGAGTGAAAAGACCTGATCAAAGTACATTTGCATAAAATAGATGTTCAGGTTGTCGCAGCTAAAACAAATTAATGAAACATTGAAATTGTTCCATGATGGACTGTTGCAGTGGTCATGCACATCGAATACTGTTTTAAAATGTTTATTTCCGATTTAAAAGGGCTTCGAAAGATAAGACTACTACTTTTTAAAGCAACAATGTGTGGCAGTTGTTCCTAAACCTACTGGAGGTGTAGATTAAACATGCAGCTTATTTTAAGGAAGTCTTCAAACTAATGGGCACTGTTCTGTCTTGTCGTCCATTGTCGTACTGTCTGCTAATACGAACCAACCATCAAGTCAAATTCCTTGTATGTCTGATATATTATGGCAATAAATGTTTCCTGATTTCCTGTTAAAGAGTATTTATTGCATTTGATATTTTTCGCCAAAGAACTAGTGCATCACTTGGCAAAAAAAAGCAGAATTTCTAATCTGCAAAATCTCTCTTCAATCGTCATTTGCAACACCTTTCTGTCTTTTATACACTGAATATAGATTGTTACCACATATATTCAATACGTTTTACGTTGCTGTGCTGCTTTCATGTGGTTGACAACCTGAACTGGGTGATAAGAGTGAGCTGACTGTGTACATAATTCTACTGAGGGAAAAAGAACCGGGTAATAATTATTGATACGTGCATGTAAACATCGCCTTCAACTGTCTATAACTTTAAATGTGGGCCAAAATACGTCGTATTTGACTATATTTGAGTTTCAGTAAAATTTGGCGGTTACTAGTTCAAGCTCAACAGGAAGTTTAAAGCTATGAAAGTGAAAGTAAGAAAAAAACGCTTTCAAACCTTTTGAAATCCGCTCGTAGCTGTGGTTTATTTTTTATCTGATGGCCGTTAATCATAGGGCTTTAGTAGAAGTCTGCTGCCCTCCCGATGAAGTTTCCCTCCGGTGACGGCTGTTCCCCGTAGTTACATCCCTACTGGTTGTTACACCTGCTGGTTTTCTACGCGTGCGTGTTTGTGTTTACTCCACAGCAGCAGATTGCCCGCCTCAGTTCCCTGATTCGTCACACATTCACAAACACATTGATGAAAATCTTCAAAACGCATCACAAATCCATTGCAGCGTTTACGGTTGTATAAGTGAGCACCACATCACAGCCACGTTTGAAAACATTTATATAAAAATATATATTAAAAGGAAAGATCGGCACAACCTGGATTCGAACCCGGTGGGTCAAAACATCAAAAAACCAACCTGTTGGCTGGTTTTAGCAGTGCGCCACGAAAACTCACAGGCTATCCTCATCCTTTATATAATTTATCCGCGCGTGTACGTTTTTACAGTCCCTTTTACCGTAAAAAACAGAAAACGAAAACACTCGTTTTCTCGCTTTTCGTTTTAAATCCAAAACGTCAGAGCGACGCAGACGCAAGCCCCCTTTGCGTGTCACTTGCGTCGCTTTTCACACCTCCTTGCGTCCTTGCGTGTGTCAAACCATTTTTCTAGGCTTGCGTCGCTTGCAATCCTTGCAAAGTAAAAGCCTGAATTGTCATTTACATGCACGGTGGTGTGGTGGTTAGCACTTCCTCCTCACAGCAAGAAGGTCCTGGGTTCGATTCCGCTCAGTGGCTCAGTGTCCAAAGACATGCACTGGGGATCAGGTCAATAGGTGACTTTAAATTGCCCGTAGATGTGTGAGTGTGAATGGTTGTGTGTCTCTGGGTAGCCCTGCGATTGGCTGGCGACCAATCCAGGATGTACCCTGTCTATTGCCCCAAGTTGGCTGGGATGGACTCCCGCAACCCTGTATGCAGGATAAGAGGTTTGAGAACTTCCTCATAAAAATTTTGTGGGGATATTTAAACTGCTTGTTATAAGTCTATTTTACGGTGGCCCTGAAGTGCAAAACACAACGGCATTAACTTCTTACGGAAAGGGTCGGGCCTTATAGCAGATAGCAGAGGACGGACCCTTCTGATTGGACAGACGGACTGTCTGTCTTTTAACCCTCTTAATCCGAAGCCTTGTCGCCGGCGACGGAAAGTGACTTACCGTGACCCCTTAACTATTCTCACAATCGGATTCTGAAAGATGAGAAATGCCGCTTTCTAGATATTCTGGCAATCAATAAATCAGTGGCGGGACTGAGAGGCTGTGATGAGGGGGGGAAGTGAGCGCAGCCGGAGAGCCGCAGCAGAAAGTCACGGAGAGATGGCGATGTTTTACGAGTGTCTTAAAAGTGTCCTACTAGTGTTTCACCATTGTTTTACCGGTGTTTTGTTGTTCAATTATATTTAGGTGTTGTACTTAAAAGTAAATAAAAGTGTGTGGCTACGGCCGACACGGCTCGGGGACCGGCGTCCAATCCTTGGCGTGAGGAATTGGATGTGTGGGGGGATTGCGTGACTGTCTCGCTCGATGCGTGACCACTTGAGAGCCCTGTATCATTTCCTGTTAAAAGACAGACAGTCCGTCTGTCCAATTAGAAGGGTCCGTCCTCTGCTATAAGGCCCTACCCTTTCCGTAAGGAGTTAATTTTGTTGTGTTTTCCTATTTGCCACTGTGTTTTGCACTTCAGAAGAAGATTGCATATTTCTACATTGTTGATGATTATCATCGGTGCCGGCAGGTAAGAGGCTCAGGTCTATCACTGGACTGCTGAAAGGTAACAGAGGCTCAGGAGAACCAGAAGCAGGTCTTTGTGGTGCAGACCCTGCTATCTAAACATACATAGTGAGACATAGCAGCAGGATGAATATCATCATAAATGCTTGATATAAAACGGTTCTGTTAATGTGTAAGAAATATGTTCAGGTGGAAGAGTCTTATGTTTGGTTGAAAAGGCTGATTAGTATTTCCTCTTGAGATCAGCAATAAGTTATGACAGCCTCTGCTGGAGGATTTTGTAGAAGACTTCTATGCCGTCACGTCCAGCAGTGTTCAGAGGACCAGAGTAGAGCTTCCTCATCTGATCCCTCTGGTTAGAGATAACCAAGATTTTATCATAACTCCCCTGGGAGACGACTTCTTTGTCAAGAAGATAATCCAAAATGGCCCCAAAATTGTTCACTCTATCGATCAGCGCGGCTTTGTGTTCATCCACGAAATATCCACTGCCCCTGTGGAAAACAGGAACAATGACTCTATAACGACGTGTTGGATTTCGAGCAAGCGCAAAGCTAACTTTATCTAATTGTAAGAAAAGGCCTTTCAAATTCTGTGAGAGTGATTTGTATCGTTCAGTTGTGAGTGTTCTGCAGTTTGTTCTGACGTCATAGACAATGAATAAGGGAACATCTCCAAATGTCATTTCCATATTTTATTCATGATCACTAATTGGCTTTCTTTTCTTGATTCACAAACATAACATTTTTCCTGAATAAGCGTTTGTGTAACCTGAGGAGGCTGTTCATTTATGGTCAATGTACACTTAGCGATGATGTTATTCAATACTTATCCCAAACAAAATGTACAATCTAACTGAAAAGAAGATCCATCAGCAGGTGTGTTCATACCTCTCCTTTCGTTCACGTCAGAGGTTAAACTCGGTTTCATGATCAAGCATGTTTTGATTTATATTCTGTTGTGGAAGATTTTCTCATGCAATCCAGAATCAGTTATAAAGTCTCTGTGAATCAAAGTTGTATTTTCCGTTTATTTCTCGCAAGGAAGAAGTCTACAACAGCTGTACATAGACAGGCATCGGCAAGCTTCTTCTTTATGTTTGAGAGCACAGATATATTTATACATTGACAGGGTTAACACCGGAGGCAGCAACGAGGACTCACAAGGCAGTTAAAACGTATGTTTGATTAGATATAGGACTGAGGCTGGAGAAATTCACACCTTCTCCTTTGTCCACGCAGCTTTGTTATGCAAAGACAAATGGGATCAAAGAGGAGAGGTGCTCTGAGATTCTTCTGCTCAGAAGGTTCCCACACAGCCGGCGTTGTGGAATTTCCTCACAGCTGAAGTCATGATTAGCTTTAGACATTAATCTAACAAAATATTATGGCATCATTATATTTTACCATTCCAATTCATTTCTCACGTGATCGTCTGATAAACATTCCAATTGATTGTCAAACCTGAATTATCTTGATCATTATTAATCATGTGGAAGAGGCACCACATCTCGTACAAATGTCCAGTAAATTAAATGTAACAGGAGGTCAGTCGTTTGAAGATTAGAGACATGGCGATAACATAAACATTCCCCTTGTTATTTTTGTAAATGGGCCCAGTTATACTGTATATTTGGGATAAAAATGAATGAACATTCACTCCTTTTTCTGAAGATCTTTCATGAGAAATTTCTCCTTCTTCTCGAGGATTTTGTAGAAGAGGTCTTTGCCGGCACGTCCAGAACCGTCCAGGGGACCAGAGAAAAGCTTCCTCATTTGATCCCTCCTGGTAGAGAGAGCCATGATTTCCTCATAACTCCCCTTCGAGATGACTTCTCCATCGAGGAGGTCATCCAAGATGGCTGCAACGTTGGTCACTCTGTCGATCAGCGCAGTTCTGTGTTCATCCACAAAGTGTTTCTCTGGGGAGAAAAGAAACAATGACTCCACGACGACAGAATACAATTTCCCAAAAGTGTCAAACTAACAACACGCTGCACTCGTCTGCTCCGTTCATTGCTCTGCAGCATGTGCTGTGTTTGGAGAACAAGTTGCACCTGTTCTAAACATCCAACCGTGCAGCAACACAGAAATGAGTTTCAATGGGGACGTTCTGGATTTTCTAACAATCGGATCAGTGGCTGATGAATTAAATTAGCAAAGAAGACGTGCCGCTACCTGCGCTGCCATCTGGTGCCGTGGTGTTCACACCAGCTGCTCCGGCTGAGGGTGTCGCAGCTGAAAGAAATTGATGAAAAAATGTGAAAACGTTTGTGATGGAGCGTTTTAGTGTTCACATACACATTGCATTACATTACATTACAGGTCATTTAGCAGACGCTTTTATCCAAAGTGATTTACATTACACTTTAAACACATGGCTTTTTTCACATTTTGCCTGGGGAGCAATTAGGGGTTAGGTGTCTTGCTCAGGGACACTTCGACATAGAACATGTGGCAGCCTGGACTTGAACCACCAACCTTGTGCTTCCCAGCACACCTTCTCTACAGCAGCAGACAAAGCGTGGAAATAGAACACTAATTCTAGAGCCCCAACACATTTCCATTGCATGTGTTAATCTGGTCGAACGGGGGTAACATGTTCGGACGCGTGTTCTGCCACAAATAAATGTACTGTCCAGTGCACTGAGTGTCTTCATGTCATCTTTAATCCGTGCTCCGCATACAATTACCAATGTCCATTTCCTTGCATTGCATCACATGTTTTGGTTACAGGCACCACAAAGCATAAGACGCCACCTCGTTGCACGACACGTTGACACGTGCGACACGTTGAAAAACTGTCTGCTTCCCATAGCCGTTCTCATTAGCAGGCACTTAAATGCATTTTTATGGAAATGTGCCACCTTGTGTTCATGTGTTGGAACTGCATGTCCTGATTCATACCTGGTGTTTCCCTCAAGATAAACAAAATCACCAAAACCTGCATTATGGCTCCAACACTAATAAAAGTAACATGTTTTTCCTGCACTTAAATCGTCCTCGACTTCATCTTCCTGATTTTAAAACACATTCTGCGAGTCGGCCTCAGCTTCATAAATGTAGAGTCAAGCAGTGTGACACAGAGAAAGGAAACCTAGTGGTGTAGATATTAACCAAAACTCCTTCTCTCATCATTAGTCTCTCCACAAACTGAGCAGCAAGCCTGAAAAATTAAACTTAAATTTGATGTAACATTTGAATAATTGAGTATTTTATCTCCGAACATTTATTTCTTTTATACAGCTGTAGGCTTTGTTATCACATTAGTTCGATATGTTTATTGATGTACGCTTTTATGGTTTGGTGAGCTAAAGATGCAGGAAAACAAAGTAGTGTTCTGTAATTTATAAAGAATTCTATAATAAATATTAACTCGTTTTTGTTTGACCTGTTTAAAATTGTATTTTACATTATATTATTATAATGTATTATATGATTATAATGTAATTCAATGTTAGGAAGGTGTGGAAAATAGAGATTATTCAGATCTTAATTCAGCCAGTGTGGTGTTATATACAAATAAATATATATATATTTATTTATTTGTATATAACACCACACTGGCTGAATATATATATATATATATATATATATATATATATATATATATATATATATATATATCTAAGTACAAATAATTAGAAATGTCTTACCATGTATATGATCAATGCTTTGGTATTCATCTGAAAATATAATGCAGAGGAAAAGGAAATATGAATAAAAATGTTTTTTAACAGACATCTGTAGGCGGTGTAGATTCATTCTTGTTCTTTCATATGAAACTGACCTTTTCGAATTGTCCTTTTCCACACTGTTTGATGGTCTTTTTTATGGTTGAGCACGAGTTCAAAGTCTGTGTCTGGATTTTGACTGTAGACCTCGTAGAAATTTGGGCTGCTGCCACATCGAAGCTTTAAGTCCTGTCGAAAAAAAAAATGAAAGTAACGAAGTTTGACTTTGATCTAAAGTTTGCATCTGGAATATGTTTTACAAATATGTGGCATCATTCTGTCATAATTTCCCTTTTCTTTAATATACAAACAAGAGCTCACTTATGAACCAGATAAGAAATAAGTAAAGAAAATACCTCAGGAGTAATTTCTGCACCCTTTAAAACTGCGGTTAAGATGAAACGATCGTTCATTTTCAGAGAAGTATTTGGTTGTGGCTTTTTAATGACTTTGTATCCATCGGATATTTGCCTCCTGTCCATTTCCTGTATAAAAACACAAAAACCTTCTCAACATATGTCTACTCTGATTGTTCTCATTCATTCAAATTGTCATTGTAATCGGTTGGCAGTAAGAGATGAAAGTACCTGCTGCAGACCCGGATCACGTGGGATCAGGTACACATGGAGCGTGAGGAAGGCCGTGTTGGTCTTATATATCAACACGTTACAGTTTATTCTCACTGGAATGCCCATTCTCAGCAGGACCGCTCTTGGGGAGAAAACAGGCTCAGACAGCTTGACATGGGACGATGTGACCTGGGACACTTTTTCCACATCATCTCCACAGTCGTTTATGTGCAGGACTGCAAACTTGTCCAATATCTTGTTGTTTGTTTTTCTGTGATTGTTTTCTATACAGAACAAAAGCAAAGAGAAAAGGACTTTATCTGTTTTTGTTTTGTTCTTTTAAAAGTCGTACCTTTTATGTACAAATTGTCTTAATGTCCACCTACCGATGCAGATCCAGTGTGGCAGATGCACTTCATCGAACCTCCCAGTAACCACTGTGATGTCCATCAGGGGACCTGCAGGCATGTATTGCAGGCTTTTCATCCTCTTCATGTGTTCCTCCCAGGAACAAAACTGGTACTTAAAACTGACCGTTCCATTACAGATCCAGCGCAAGCCAGAGACGCTGCATTCATAGTTTCCTGCTTTAGACTGCAAGCTAAACACGAAAAAGAAAACAACTGTTTTTTTATATGGACAAAAATACTATATTAGGAAACAAAGTACAGAAGTTTATTTATGCTTATAATTGTCATATTGCGTTGTAAGCAGTAACGGCACAGAGAAAGATTTGAGTTTTCCTTCAGGGAAAGAATCCCAGGAAATAAGCTCATTTGTTTCCTTACTGCTCCAAGGATTTACCGGTAAGTTGGAGCATCGTCTGCATCCGCACAGTTCACCTCAGGGTCAAGTTTGGTCCATTCACTGGAGCCCTGCTACAAAGGACAACGATGGCAAACAAACGGTGATGTGTCTCCTCATGAATCAAACAATGAACGGAAGAAATTACCATCATGCTTCCTCTCTCCTCGTGAATTTTATTCAATTGCTGTGTGTGAGTGTGAATGGTTGGTTGTACCTGCGTCTGCACTGCAATTGACTGGTGACAAGTCCAGGTGGAACCCTCACCCCCTCCTAGCTGGGAGGGATGCAAGCGCAAGCCTGTATGAAGGATAAGCGGTTTGAAGATGGATGGATGCTCTGAAGGTCATTTTGTGATTCATGTCTCAGGTATAATTTGGGTAGATTTGATGTTCTTTGATATTCTTTGCCATATATATATATATATATATATATATATATATATATATACACACTTTGATATTCCATGGTGTAAGGATTCTCCTGAACTGATTTCTTGGAAGCTCCCCGTTGGGTTGAATGTAGCTCAATCCTTAGTTGCTCATCTCTGGTCCACGGCGGCGGGAGAGAGCTCTGTGGGAGAGGTTCAGGGGAACTTAGTTAACTTAATTATCACAGCTGTAACCTTCTGCTCATCATCCCTCGGTCCTCTCAGCCAGCAGAGAGACAGAAAGCAGATGCACTCATTGATGAAAACTGTGTGCTCCGAGGAGCCGGGCAGCAGACGAGAGCGCACGGCACTGAGCATCGTTTAATGTGAACTTTGCTTTGAAATAAAGTACGTTGCTGTCAACCTGAACGTCTGTAGACGGTGTCGTGTGTTGAAGAGGACCCGCGAGCAGCACTAGTGTCGGCTACAGGTACGATTTGTGAAATCTGAGTTTGAGATTAGTGTATGTGCTCATTTCTGCATCACAACACCATTTGATACACTTTGGCCTCATTTATAAAACCTTGCGTAGGATTTGCGCCAGAAGTGGCGTACGGATGAAACATAGGACGTGCGTACGCACAGAAATATTCAGACTTATAAAACCGTGCGCACGCACGTCCTACGCAGTTTTCCCTTAATAAATCACAATCAATTCCAAATGCAGCGCAGCTTTTGCGGCTTCATACCACGCCCATAGTTGCCCATATATTGTCTGTGGAACGCCCACAAATTAATATTCATCGATTGCGAAATCATGACAAACACTGAGAGGAAAACGAAGAAGCGTTACTTCACTCAGTGTGAAGTCGAAATTATCATTGGCGGGGGGGAAAGGAGAAGTAAAATGCTTTTTGGAGGGCACAGTATGGACGTTACTAATGCCAAAAAGGCCCTTGAGTGGCAAAAGGTTGCAGGGCCGCGAACGCTGCAGGAAAGCGTTCGTGGCCGAAATAAAGAAAAAATGGTCTGAAATCAAATTGGATGCAAAAAAGCGTTTAGCGCGCCATCGCCAAAGTGTGTCTGCTACGGGTGGGGAGAGGGGACACCGACTGGCGGCAATGATTGGGGATCGAGGACAGGGTCTTGGCCAACGTCGGCGTCAGGGGGGGTCGAGGCACGTTTGGAAGCTGTGCCACATTATGTAGCACAGCACATGCCAGCACGATTTTGCACACCTTTTCAGCAGTTTACAATAACCTCCCTCCAGTGCAGTCGAGACAGCGCCATCTGCCCTTAAACAGGCCGATGGTGCGCTGCACTACAGCGCGAATCCTTCCATGTGCCACGTCTTCTAAGAGCGCAAGATCAGCCATTTCGCGTCATTACGCATTGTGATGGCATCATGGCATTTTATTCCATTTGATTGCACCTGACGAGCAACAGTTGTGTTTTGAGGATGAATTGCATAACATGCCAATATTATTGCAGAACATATTTCTTCGAATAATTGAAAATGTGTTAATTTGTTCATTTCAGTTTGTTTTACGCTGCAAATCGATCGAACGGGTGTTTGTGTTATTTATGAGAGGCAGTATTGGCATATCTTTTACACAACAGTCTAGTTTTACACACTTTCACACACGTCTGCGTGTTTCTTGCATTTGCCGACGGTTCTCATTTCACCCGTTTTTGTGCGTACGTATGGGTCCGAGCTTGCGTGAAGGACCGCACTTTTTTCCGTCAAGTTTGCTTTTTATAAATACCAATTATTGCGTAGAGAGCGGCGTACGCCTTCTTATGTGCGTACGCAACGTTTATAAATGAGGCCCCAGATCACTGGATCTCATCAATTATACAGCTGATGTGATGTTTCTGGTTTAAAAGCTGTTCACTGTTAACAGGATCATCTTCAACCTGTAACAATGAAATGAAAGGAGTATTGTGTAAAAGGTGTCTCATGTGACACTACTCACACTCATGAAAGCTGTTGCATGAAAGCCTGTGGAGAAAATCACAAAGTGAGACATTGATCGACAGGTTCAGCATCCGATTCATCAATTTTGTAAATTCATTCTTACCGTGGGAAAAAACTCTTTTTGACCGTCTCTCCTGCAGGTCTTCCCAGAACATCCTCTTTAACACCTTCCTGGTCACCTCCACAGACGATTGGTCGTAGGCCTCCATCATCAGCTTCACCATCTTCACTCGGTCTGCCCTCTCTAATCTGTGTTTTGGGATTCTTAGGAGACCTTTCTCACGTTGAGTGGACTGCAGGAGGCGTTTGAACTTCTCGAGGTCCTCGTCATTTAAATCCTTCATTGTTTGCAAAAGACTCTCCTGAACTGATGTCTTGGTGGATTCCTGATGGATTAAAAGTAATCAGAGGGAATTTATGTAACATCTCCCTTGTAGTGTTTTAGATTGTATTAAATAATATAATTAATGTCATGTGATTACTCAATACAAATATAGCCTAATATCTGTTCTATTGTTTGTTTTACATTGTTTTCTTAAAATATATAGGGTCATTTATGTATCTCCTCTCATCCTATCAGTTATACTGGACTCTTATCAGTTATCTGGACTCCCCAGGAATCTACGCCAGGATCCTGTTTGTGGACTTCAGCTCTGCCTTCAAAACCATCATCCCGTCTCTGCTGCAGCACATCACTCTCAGCTACACATGCCCGACTCCACCTGCAAGTGGATTACAGACTTCCTGTCTGACAGGAAGCAGCACGTGAAGCTGGGGAAACATGTCTCAGCCTCTCGGACCATCAGCACCGGTTCCCCCCAAGGCTGCGTTCTTTCCCCTCTGCTCTTCTCCTTGTACACCAACAGCTGCACCTCCAGTCACCAGTCCGTCAAGCTCCTGAAGTTTGCGGATGACACCACCCTCATTAGACTGATCTCTGGTGGGGATGAGTCCGCCTACAGGAGGGAGTCTGACCATCTGGTGTCGTGGTGCAGCCAGAACAACCTGGAGCTCAACGCTCTAAAGACAGTGGAGATGGTTGTGGATTTCCGGAGGAACAGAGCCCCACCTTCCCCCATCACCCTGTGTGACTCCCCCGTCACTATTGTGGATTCCTTCCGTTTCCTGGGCTCCATCATCACCCAGGACCTCAAGTGGGAGCTGAACATCAGCTCCATCACCCAGAAGGCTCAGTAGAGGTTGTTCTTCCTGAGGCAGCTGAAGAAATTCAACCTGCCAAAGATGATGATGGTCCACTTCTACACGGCCATCATGGAGTCCATCCTCTGCTCCTCCATCACCGTCTCTGCAGCCACAGCCAAGGACAAGGGCAGGCTGCAGCGTGTCATCCGCTCTGCAGAGAGGGTGATCGGCTGCAATCTGCCGTCCCTGCAGGACTTGTTCGCTTCCAGGTCTCTGAAGCGAGCTATAAAGATTGTAGCCGACCCCTCTCAACCCGGACAAAACCTGTTTGTGCCCCTTCCATCTGGCAGGAGGCTGAGGTCCATCAGGACTAAGACCTCCCGCCACACGAACAGTTTCTTCCCGTCGGCAGTCGGGCTCATCAACAGAGCCCGGTCCCCCACTGACTGGCTCTGACATTCCACCGGTCACTCCCCTTCACACTGCACATGTCACTTTAACTGTCATTTTTCACTCGTCACTTTGTTGTCACTCGTCATTTTGTCACTTGTTTGCTAGTGCACTTATTTTTTAAATATTTTTTAACCTTTTAAATATTTTTAACTTTAACTTTATTCTCTTTTTGGACTAACCCATAGCCTTATTCTACTAACCCATAGCATTAGCATTTTATTTTATTACTTGTGCACTGCTGTCTTGTTGTCCACTGTCACGCATCAGCCAAGTCAAATTCCTTGTATGTTTGACATAATTTGGCAATAAATGTTTCCTGATTCCTGATACAGGCAACAGCTCCAGCAGGGGACACAAGCTTCCCTTTCCTGGTCCACATCTACCTCCGCTCCGTGTCTGTCACGGTGTGGTTTTCCTGTCTTATTTTGTAGTTTTCTGCTTCTTGTCTCCCTGGGTAACTTCACTTCCTGCCTTGTCCTGTCATCGTCTGTGATTGTCTGATTGTTTCCACCTGTGTCCAATCACCTGCACCTCCCTAGTGTATTTAAGCTGTGTGTGTCTCCTGTCACTTGTCGCGTCATTGTCTATCGTCCCGGATGTGTCTTGTTCGTGCCGCCTTCCCCCCCCCCCCCCCCTCAAGTCTGCATCTTGAGTCCTGCCTTCCCACGCACCCCTGACAGCGTCAGGCCTAACAACACCCCTGAACATTATTGGACGATAAAGTAAAGCCTCATGTACCTTATTGATTTAATATGTATGTATGTATGTATGTATGTACGTGAACAGGATGGTATTCAATCAGCACGTATTAAATGAGAGTTTTGATGTTTGACTCACGCTCTGTGCAGGTTCATCTTGAGCTCGCTCTCCCACGGTCTCTCTCTCTCTCCCACTCGCCTTCACTGGTTGAGCACCAAAGTGGAAGAGACGTTTCAATGCTTTGTTTACTTATATTTTAGACATATATGAATATCTTTTAATTTGTTTTATTATCTTGGTTTTACCTTCACAAAATGAGTTGGACAACCACAACCGTATTATGTGACTTCTGCCCATCATCTCTAAAACCTCACAGGTTAAATCCACAGAATGAAGGCCGAAAGTTTCCAACATCAGATCCACTACTGATTCTCTGCCAAATGTTCGACTCAAGATTAATGAGAAGGGATTATTCTGTGAGATGATCGACGTGAGGATCTCCTTGAATTCCTTGCAATTACTAAAATCCTCCACTATTCCCAAAAGCAGAGGTCTAACAGCTGCTTTTCTGGCTTCCTGAAAGAAATATATATTCATTATAATATATAATACATTCATAAAAATACAAATAAGTACAAAACATGACATTGGATCTAAATTGATGAAGAGTAAATTGCATTTGTTGAATATGAGCATTGTTTTAAATTGAGACAGATGTTGCGTTACTCACTCTCTGTATCAGTGCAGGTCTGTGTTCAGAGGAGAGTTTCTCTGAGGAGAAAGGAAGTAAAAGTCATGAGTCACTGATTTAACAAAACGTTTTGGTATCAGGCGACAATTTAGAAAAACAGAAATTTTCACCCAAACCTCCTCTCTGCAAAAATGTTCGATGCCTCATCAGTCACACAATAAATTTCATTTTATTCATAATGCAAAAAGAAGCAGATTATGGCACAACTTAAGATATTTGTGAAGTAGCAGTTTCATGGTTTCAGGTAGTTTTTATTGTCTTACTTTGGGCTCCTGAGCTGCTGTGTGAAAGCTTCTGCACCAGATCAGTCCGGTTCATCTCATGTAAAAACTTCATGGTGTCCGTCACAGAGAGACGACCACAGGTCAGCACTATTACAAACACCACGTCCTGCACGTCTGTTGCCTCTGACAACAACCATCTGATATCAGAAGAGATCGTAAGGTTGTGAGTTTCCCCCAAAAACAAATGCTGCAACATCTTCAGCTCCCGGTCAGTTAAATCCTTCAGCGTTTCCAAAAGCAGCTCAATAGCAGACGCCATCGTCTCCACCAACTGTGGACGTATTAAAATAATTTAACCACATCAAACGATGATACAATAATATTTGTACATATGATATCAACTTGATCAAAATAAGGTTGGTCTTGTTCAAATCAAATAAAAGCGTTTTTGTCTAATGTACAAAATAATCACCGTAGAATGATCTACAAATGAACTATTATTCTGATTATTGATGAATCTGCTGATTATTTTCAAATAACAATGTTTGAAGATCACAATTCCCCAAAGTCCACTTTGACATCTTTAAATGTCTAGTTTTAATTGACTGAACAGCCCATCCTTATAAATTTATAAGGACAGAGAGCAGAGAAGCAGAAGATCTTCAACAATATTTACCATTTTTGTGAAAGAAAAAGTAGTTAAACAATGAAAAGTTCAAAATTGTTGTGATACATTTTCTGTTGACCAACTCATTAACTGTTTGAGCTTTAGTCTGGAGGCAGACAGAAGGGACATTACTCACTTCAGGATTCAGTCCAAGCCAAAGTTCACCCAAAGAGTGTTCTTCTGAGGAGAGAGGAAACATTTGAACACGAATGATAAGAATTGATCACATAATAAACAGAGAATCTGCTGAAGACATTGTAAAGATTAAACTGCTGGTTACACACTGTCATACACAAGGTTTATACACTGCAATTTAAATAGGAACTACAGAGCTTTAAGGATTATTTTACTTATTTTGTATTATTATTTGTTATTTTTTTCCATGATATTCGTGTCTCAAGATTATTCATTTTTTTCCAGGTATTAATACCAAATATTTTCACTGATTTTGATGATCCTCCAGCTACAATACAATTCATGACAATTGTGATTGTTATAATAAATGCTCTGTGTATGTTCTGTGTAGGATCAGATGTGAGGAGTGAAGCCATGGTTACAGATGAAGGAACACAAAGAGGAAACATTGTGAGAATTGACCCTGATACAGGTGGATTCTTAAAGAATAGATGTACAACTTAAGAATAACCCTCTCAGGTATCTCTGCTCTACCTTTGTGTCCCCAGGTGGGCAGCCTCTGCACCAGATCAGTCCGGTTCATGTCCACTAACACCTCCTTGGTCACCTCCATAGACCTTTGACCCCACGTCTGCACCATCACGTCCACCAGGTTCTTTGCAGTGTGGAATCTTTGCAATCGTTTCCACAAGTGTCTTGGAAAGCTGCACAAAAAGAACTTCCACAGCAGCAGCCAGTTGAATCTCTTTAGCTCTTTATCTCTCAAATCATTGAAGGTTTCCAAAAGCAGCTCTCTAACGGGCAGCCCTGCTTCCACCTGGAAAACAACACACAAAAATGATGTGTTTGTAAAGAAAGTATTTACCTATTGAGTCACATAAACTGACCTGTTAACCTGTGTGATCCACACTTCTCAAAAGGCTTCATATCAATAAGGATTTACTCACTTCTGTTCTCCTGAGCTCATGGATGAGATGTGGCTCATGTTCATTCAGGAGTTTGTAGAACATCTCGTTTCCTTCACTTCCGCTGACTGGCAAAGGCCAACGAAAGAACTCCACCATCTTCTGCTGAGAGGTTGGCAGAGGCTTCATCTGATCGTAACTATATCGGGAGATTATCTTTTGGCGGAGGAGCTCATCCAAAATGGGTTTAATGTTGCTGACTCTCTTGATCAGCTCGACTCGATGTCTTTCCACAAAGTGCTCCCCTGAGGAGAGAGTGAAAAGGAATTTTGTACAAATAACTGAAATTATTTTAATATATAAATGCAGGCCATGCGCTGCTTGGATTTTACAAGAAGAGGTATTAAGTTTCTGGCAGATTTCTATGGTTGGGTTTTTCTCGCATACAACTGTGTTTTATAGTAAAAGTGACTCGCGTTTTAATTTTGCTGTTTCAATTGTTTTCATTTAAATAACAGATGAAAAACATTACATTCAAACTACATGTGAAAGATGTATTTTTACAGCTGTGAGAGGTTTCCTCCAAATGTCATTCTGTAGAGCTCTTACATCTTTTTTTTTTTTACAATTTTTAAATACATTTAGGTTTTTAGTTTAGCTCAGCATAACGGCTAGAGGCCCGAGAGAACAACTGGTCCATACAAATTGTGTGTTTCATTGTAGCAACCAAGAATTATATTGTGTGCTAATTGTTGAGCTTTTTAATAGTTGAGGTGCTGGAAGTTAGATATTTATGCTCAGCCTAACTGTTAATAATGAGGTGTCATGGTCAGAGAGGCGTTTAATGAGATGACATCATTGTACCTGTGCAGCCTCCTTCCGCCATGACATCAACACCAGGTGATCCATCTGAGGGTCTCGCAGCTGAAACAAACATCAGGTAAACTGAAATGACTTAATGATGGAGCGGTGCCCACGCATATTTACTAATGTTTCATAGAAAAACAAAACAGAAAATGAATGACAACATTCATTGTCTTCAAAACATGTGCCAACTTAAATGTCTTTTATACACTGAATATGGTTTGTTCTCACATCTGTTTAATATGTTTCACGTTGCTGTGCTGCTTTTATGTTGCAGACCAGCGATTCATACTGGTGGGCCGCGAGAGGTCATTTACAATAAATAAATAAAACGTTTTTCATTTTCAATTTTGAAAAGTTTGAAATGAATATAAAAATATTGATATTATTTGAACAATTCTAGCAGCACATTAGTTATGTGAAACATTAATTGATGAAGGGCAAACAATTTAAACGGCTGCTCTTGTCCGCCTGTCGTAATTCAACAAAAGGCGCCCTCTTGTGGTATTAAAGTAAATATATATATGAGTTCCGGAAAAGATTGTATACAAATCAGGAATCAGGAATCAGGAATCAGGAAACATTTATTAGCCAAAATATGTCAAACATACAAGGAATTTGTCTTGGCGGTTAGTGCGCGACAGTAGACAGACAAGACAACAGTGCACAAGTAATAAAATAAAGTGGAATGAAATGCTAATGCAATGGGTTAGTAGAATAAGGCTAAGGCTATGGGTTAGTATAAAACAAGGGAATAAAGTTAAACATTTTTAAATATTAAAAAGTTAAAAAGAAAAATATTAAGCATAATTATGTGCACTAACGAACAAGTAACAGACAAGAGACAAAGTGACAAGTGACGACAAAGTGATGAATTGCAGTTAAAGTGACATGTGCAGTGTGAAGCAGAGTGATCGGTGGAGTGTTATAGTCAGGCAGTGGGGGACCGGCTCTGTTGATGAGCCCGACTGCCGACGGGAAGAAACTGTTCGTGTGGCGGGAGGTCTTAGTCCTGATGGACCTCAGCCTCCTGCCAGATGGAAGGGGCACAAACAGTTTTTGTCCGGGGTGAGAGGGGTCGGCCGCGATCTTTTTAGCTCGCTTCAGAGACCTGGAAGCGAACAAGTCCTGCAGGGACGGCAGATTGCAGCCGATCACCCTCTCTGCAGAGCGGATGACCCGCTGAAACATACGTTGTCGGTTAATACATTTTTAATCAGTTAAATTCTTAAGGTCATTTAATCATCCCTAGTTTATGTTTTGATCAGAGTTGTGATTAAAGGTTTGGGTGGGCCGCAAAAGATTTTCAGATTTCAAATTGGGCTGCGGCATTGTTGAGTTTGGGAACCGCTGTTGTAGACAACCTGAACTGGGTGAGTAAGAGTAAGATGACTGTGTACATGATATCTTTGAACCTACCTTCTGCCATCGTATTCACATCCGTTCCTGCAGCTGAGTGGCTGTAAAAAATAGGGAAAGTAATACTTTAAATACCAGTACTATTGTTCTTAGACTTCTACGTTTAAATGTTACAAATGGTGTCTTTCTTTAACATTCAGATCACCAAGAAAACCTAATTACAGGTAACAGGTTTAATAGTAATAATAATTACTATTAAATAGTAATATTAATTATAATGAGCTAATTTTCCTTCACAGTAATAGCAGACCACTCAGAGAGCAGTATTGACAATCTTGGGACATTTTAAAGCCCTTCAAAACGCATAGAGCATGGAAGTAGTAATGTCGTGTTAGAAATAGTGTTACAAGTAGAAGTACTATTAAAGGCTATTTCACTAGATCATAATTTTAAGTGTCAGCTGAGTTGACCACAGTCGGTTTCTTTCTGTCTGTCTGTCTGTCTGTCGTTGTGTTCTTTATATAAGTATATTCTCAGTAATGTCTTATCAAAAGGGTTGGGTTAGTTACATTTTCATTAGACTGATTGAACTGTCGAATTAGTCGAGTTAGTTCACTGTATTCACACATTATAGCGTTAACATTAAAGTGAAAGTAAAAAAAGGAAGGAAACAAATAAAAAGTTTGTCGAACTCTTTTTTACAAACCTTTTTAAAAGAACTCGTGGCTGCAGTTCATTCTTGATATGATGGCAGTTAATCGCTCAAGACTTAAGTCGAAGTTTGCTCCTGTTTCCCTCCGGTAACCGGCGATTCCCGTAGTTCCCTCTCCCTCCCTCTCCCGGTTTCACCGTTTCTACCCGGCTGTCGCTTCTCAGTGACGTCAACCGGGCAACAGGGGGCGGTAGAGCTTCTCCTATGCTTAGAAACCCACAAGTAGCAGAAGAAGAAGAAGAAGGTCCCGTATGTAACAACAACAAAAAGCTGCACGTAGGTCACCTCCTGCTAATGTTATTTATGGTTTTAAATTATAGTCCGTGTGAGGTTAACTTGCGTTCATGTGTAGTGTTCATGGCGTTAAACGTCTCGTTCCGTATTGACGTCACATTAGCTGACTTCCGGTCGGCTTTGCACTCAGTGAGGTCGGTCATGTAACGTTAGTTATTAAAAAATATATCTCAAAATGTGCATGTGCTGGGATAATTGTGTTATTTGGAAAACGTCAAAATACAGCTGATATCCCATTTACTTTAAAGTGCTACTTATATTTGATTACTGTTGACACTTTCCTTCATGCAGCAACACTTGTTTGGAGTTTTATAAGTTTGCATAATTGAAGAATAATTATTTTTTTTTTTCTAAATTACTCTTGGTAAATACATGTAATATACAGTTTTATTTGTATTGTCGCCATAATCAGAGCCATATATCCCAGTTTGTAGCAAATATAAGGGTAACAAATTCCGTTTTGATAAGTTAAAAGGAAAATATTAAATACTTGAAGGAGAAAATGTTTTCTTTTGCAAATGTATTTACACACACCGGTAACAAGTAATGAGGATGAAACGTGAAAAACACTGAAGCACCCTCAATAGTTTAGTTAATAATATTTCTTTACCCCCTCCTAGTTGGTTTGCATAATCAAACCATAGCCAAAATAAAAAAGAGGCTAAATGCGAATCCAAACTCCGATTGCAAAACATCTTTGTCTTACTGACAAAAGATTTGCTTTGTTATTTCCGTAAGATATCTCTTACCTGGCATAACGGATACCCTTTTGTGGGTATGATTTATATACGACTGCTTTTCTCTTTTTAATGTGTCTTTCTTAAATCCACAGCAGGTGGCCAACATGAGTTGCACATTTCACTTCCTGGTTTCCCGCAGCGACTTCTACCCCGGCCGCTCTCTGCTGGTCTCGTCTCGAGAGTCCCTGTTGTTCAGAGCGCTCAGCTCCATAAACCAGATCAGCAACAGCCTGCAACAAAGCTACAGGCTTCTGCAGCTATCCGACAAGGGCCACAGCAGTCCTGTGCAGGTGAAAGAGGCCTACCTGCGCCTCGCCAAAATCTATCACCCGGACTCAGGGGCTCCGACTGCGGATGCAGGGCTGTTTGCCAAAGTTGAGGAGGCCTACTGCGCTGTGCTGGCTCATCAAAGCAAGACTATTCAACCCGATAGGGGAATGGAGGAGGAAGATGAGGACAAGCCCAGAGGCGCAGCCTTTCCACACAGACACTACCTCAATTACGAGGGTGTGGGTTCGGGCACGCCCAGCCAGCGCGAGCGGCAGTACCGGCAGATACGGGTCGACCGGGCGACCGAGCAGGTTTTGAACTACCGGCAGAGGGAGCACGAGAGGGCGGCCGCCGCAGAGGGGGCGCTGGTGGAGCGGGACATCCGTCAGCGCAGCCGAAAGATCAAGATCACGCAGGCCGTGGAACGTCTGGTGGAAGACCTCATCCAGGAGTCCATGGCCCGAGGAGACTTCAGGAACCTGGGTGGAGCTGGAAAGCCCCTCAACAAGTTTGAGCACAACCCGTACGCTGATCCCATGACCCACAATCTCAACCGCATCCTCATAGACAATGGTTACCAGCCACCCTGGGTCGTCACGCAGCGCGACATCCGAGAGGCCGCCGCTGAGATCCGAAACAGGTTACTGGAGGGGAGGGCCAGGCTCGGTGACCCCATGACCCCCAAACAGCAAAGCCAGTGGGAGCAGCTCTGTGCGTCTGTAAAGGAGGAGCTGGCGAAACTTAACAAGACGGTGGACAATTACAACCTCATCGTGCCGATGCTCAACATGCAGATGGTTCACTTCAGTTTGCCTCGAGAGATCAGCCGCGCTGAGAAAGGAGCCCGCCAACACAGACTGGAGCAGCAGAGAGAGAGAGAAAAGGAGAAGGAGAGGAGGAGGAAGGAGGAGAAGAAACAAGCCAACTCAGTGACCAAGCATAAAAGTACCAAACAAGGCCTGATGACCTGGATAAAGAATTTGCTCAGATTGAAGCAGTAAATCTCTGAACAGAAAAGGATTTGAGAACAGTGGTTTATTCTTTTTTTCTCTCAATTTTAACTGATCATTACAGCGATACTTCAAACAGACTTGTGCACTTATTTCTAAAAACACTTAATCAAACCTTCTTAGTTCCACTCTGTTTCTGCTGTTATTGTCCAGACAGGGACTGTCAGTCAGCTAGATGACCAGTATCTGGAAATCATGATTCTGTAAAGTACGAGGAACTGCATGTGTCGATATCCAAAGATTACAGCATGGGATGTTTTTGTGATTGTTTTGTTTTTATGAAATGTATGATCTAAAATGTTTGATGTTACCAAGATGTTTCCATGAAACCGCTGATCTGAAAATACAACCCAACAAGTGTAAGATTTAAATGAAGATATAAAACCCTGACATTAAAGTAATCACAATCCTTGCGTTACAGAGTTTCACGTCTTTGAATGGCTGAACGCCTCATTCTAGTGGGCCGGCTGCTCCCGGGTTGCAGATGACGACGGGTCCCTCGCTTCTGGCCCCGCTGCCGGCGGCCTCCCCGTGCAGCGCCTGAGCCACGGCCCTGGACGGGGTCGACACCTGGGCCCAGTCCCGGGCGATGTACTGGTGGTACGGATCCTGAGAGCTCTCCAGCTTCTTGGAGCGAATGTAGCTGAGCATGATGCCGAATGTGAAGAAGCTGAACGTGCCGACCACCAGCAGCATGTACATCACGCCCTGGGACTCGGCCCGGGCCCTGGTGCCGGCCACGGGGTGCGAGGCCTGCTGGGGGGTGGGGTCCGGATTCACCTGCCAGGACGCTGTTCTTGTGCCGTTGAGGCAGTGCTGCAGGAAGGAGAGCAGGAGCGACTGCAGCTCGGTGGCGTTGATGGCGTGAGACATGCCTGACCTCTGCTGGACCTTCAGTGAACTGCTACTGAGGAGAAAACACAAAGAAGATTAATCACACAGGGAAGCACCCCCCGCCCACAAGAATTCGGCGGAAACTATTTCATTTATTATTATTATGTCAATATCAGACGGATTAAAAGGTCTTAGTTTGTGAGTTGGAGATTAATAGATGAGAAATTAAAATCAACTTTCATAGAATGAGCGTGAGAAAATGACCTCAAAAGGATTTAAAATACAACCCATTCATCCAAAATTGATAAGTACGGTAATATGGAACTTTTTGATATGATGATGATGATGATGTTATCATATATAGAAAATATTGTAAATGTATTGTTTGAATATTACCAGGCAAACCTGAGATCGATATGCTCCTTTTCAAAGGGACCTGGGGGTGTCAGCAGAGTGCAGGTGATGTGATGTAGAAAGTGCGTCTCATAGATTACGTGTACATCATCATTCAAGCTTCGTTTAGGAGAAAGAAAAGCCTACCTCTCGAGGATCTCAGTTGCTGCAGCGACGGGCTTCAGCAGACATCGATAATCCCAAGTCATGTATCTCCAGAAGGACTAGAAGAAACTGGTCTCAAGCTAGACCCCCCCCCCCCTCTCCCCTCGCCTTGGTCATAATGTGCCCTCCTTCTTGCTCAAGGTTCTACATTGAAGAGACGGGCAGCACGTTCTACTTGTCAACACTTTTAATGAAATGAGGAGGTCACAGGGCAAGGTCAACAGCATTCTGTAGTGAGGCAGTTGTGTACCGGGCTTGTACACTACTGGAGAAGCATGTTTTGGGGTGTGCATATATGATATACTGTGTATATATGAAGGACCTCGAGCCTTCTGCGAGTCACAAAAATCATTAGACAAATATGTCAAAGTCTTTTGTATTTATTACAAATACGAACAAGCCCACAAGTTATCAGTGACAAACAAATATTAAGATCTACTTGTTTCTATCATGAGTTGTGACCCAAAGCTGGTGTTTGTGTGTGTGTGCTTGGTTGTTTGTGTTGTCTCGCATGAACGTTTTTCAGGCGGTGCTAATGCCGAGCTGCAGAAGGAGAACAAGACGGCATTCAGACCACAGCTCAGACTAGATTGAGTAGACTAGACTAGAACGCACTCACCTCCAAATGTCCTCTAGCTCGTGTGTGTGTTTGTGTGTGTGTGTGTGTGAAAGAAGAAATTCTTTACTTCTCCAAATGTTTTATCTTGATTAACTGATTAGTTTACTTAATTAGTGAAAACCCCTACAGAGAGACGGATTCTCCAAAAATAATTGCAGAAAAAACGTTCATCAACATTTTAAGATATGTTCATAAGTTTCTCGGAAATAAGTCGGGGTGGAAAAGCATGAAAAACTCAGTTGAGAAATCTAATCAACTCGGATGGGTTAACCTTCGTACCACTGTACTAATATTCTGTGGTGGGTTTGGCAGAAAAAGCAAAGTCAAGTAATCAATCATGGAATTTCAAAATAATTTAAGCAAAATATATTTAATAAAACACACTAAACATAATTAAATTGGTAATTAAATGTTCTAATATCACAATGTCAGGGTTTCCCTTTCAACTCTCACATTAAAATCTCAAGATATGAAGACTTTGTTGGGTACGGAGAGTCACATGATTTACATTGAAGGGCTCTTATTCTGTAATGAGACATCGGTAGTCCAACACTAAACCCAGAATGTGCACCTCAGCCCAGTAAGCCGCCAGTTTGCACAAAGCATGTCATTAAAACTGCTTCTTTGACAATACATATTTCTATTGATACTAGAAGTGGTCCATAGAACTGAGGAATACTGATAAATGATTAGCTTTTGTATGATTAATTAGTCAATGAATTGATTAGTTTGTCATATAGGAAATTAATGATGTCCATTTGAGTAACCGATTAACAGCTTATACGTCACAGCGTTCCATTTTTGTGTTGTTCACTTTGGACAAAATGCATTACCCAAAAGGAAAATGTTGGTCTGTAGTAATTTGACATTGCATGTGCACAACGTTAATAAAATAAATCATATTTTATTTAAAGATACATACATACATAATCAGTGGAATTAATCGTCCATTGGATTCCCAACACTGAAGGCATTGTTTATTTATATTTTTTTCAAATTCACAAATTTGAAACGTTGAATACTTTAAAGGCCTTTTCTCAATCCTGCAGGTTGCAAATGACTCAACCTGTCATGCTGTGATCGCCTCTTTGTTAGCAAAATAACAGTTATGAAGCTTGACTCTTGCAGAGATGATCTTATTACCTGTAAGATTCAAAATAAAAAGTACAAAAATCCAACAGTAAAAAAACGTGCATTCCCATGCTTTATATTATCACATTTTCCTGAATCAGATCTTGTCATGATGGTAAAGATGAATCTAACTCACCACTGACGTCACTCTAGCTGCACCCTGTCACACATGTCTTTAGATTCTAACAGCCTGCAAATAAAAAAATAAAAGGAAACTTATTTAGATCTGAGAAACAGCATCCGGGATGTAACAGTTATTCAAACGGTACAAAGTATTTTTGCTAAATGTAGCTGATGGTGATGCTGACTACTTTTTACAAATAAACCATCACATATAAAAAGTCTGGATTCTTCCATTCTCAATTTAAAATAAAATTGATGAAGACTCCATTAACCATACATCGTCATTAACAAATAAAACCATCTCAGTTAGTCACCATGAACATAACTGGCAATTTACTTTAATACGCAGTAGAATGAATTCACTTCATTGGTCCAATTAAAATACCCTCACAAACAGCTGCGGACTTTAACGTACTGTATATTTTAATGATGAAAATACTTCACAATGAAACTATAATCCGATATATTTATCTTATATTTAGATTACAGATTTTTTATTTTTCTGTAACATCATATGCAATCACTTCCTGCACAACCCTGCATATGTAAAGTACACTACTGACTCCAGTATATTGATTAAAGGCTTACCAATAGATCTATAATGAATCCCCTCAATAATTCATCACATTAAGGACGAACTACTCACCCTGCCTGGGCCTTGAGAGCTTTACGGGCGTCACGAGCCTCTTGCTCTCCCGAAATCTTCTTGTAACAGTAGATCAGAACCACAGCGAGCCACAGCTGCAGAACCACGATCAGCACGTACATCATGATCTCTGAGACCACCTCGGTCAGCTCCCGATTGGCTGGGGAATAGCAACCAGCAGTTTAAGCAGGTGTTTGGAGCTGCTCGTGTTCATCTATTTATTGACCAGGATACCAGGATGTTAATGAACATTGCGGTTTCCTCTTCAATGTAAATGTGCAGGACTTCGTCAGAGAGCTCATTCTCGTCTGTCGGCCCCCGGCAGGTTTACAATTAAGGGGCCTAATATTACAAGTACAACTCAACACTGTAACAAGGCAGAATATGAGACCAAATACGGAGCCGTGAGCGCACATGAAGGCAGCGGCAGCGATGAGGTGGCACGATTACTCGTGATTGCAGGGCTGGTTTGTGTTGGGCAGCCTCCTCAGTTTTTGTTTAATGCCTTTTCTAAACACGAGGAAGAGGAAGACTGGAAGACTGTTCCAGTGGTGGACGGGTCTCACTGAGAAGACTGTTTTACCCAAACGGGATTTCAGGGATGCAAGTCAAGGTCTGTAAAAACATTGGTAGTTGACTTTTATCCCTTTTCGTAAAGGACTCACATAGCCACACAAATAGTAAAGCACACAATCTGATGAAGTACTGAGAAACTGTCCTTGACAGGTCCCTCTCCTCCGTGTGTTTCCTTTGGCAATGTCCTTCTCCTGAGAGATCGGCTGTTTGACAGAAGCAGTGGAATGAAAGCACAGTTGAACTTTTTTCACCAGGTTATCATCTCATGTTACGCAGATAGTCCTCTGGATACACACTGATTATTGGTGTAACTTTCAAAACAAAACTGAAGTCAGGCCGAGAGGACGGGGACGCCGAGGTCTTAAATATATGGCGGTAGGACAAAATGTTCTCAGGAAAAAGGTTAGTGCAGTTTACCAAGGGATAATAAAAGAAAAATCCAACTTAAAGCTAGTAGTGGATTGTATAGTGTACTTACTAAATAATAGTTGCTTATTATTTACGTGAGTCTCTCTGTTTATTGTCTTTTCATGCAACTCCACCTTATTTCAGAGGGGAATCTTGGTGAACGTTACCTCTTTAGTCAGTTACTTTTTGGATGAAGGTATTTCATATAAAGTATGTTCCTATTTCTTTGGCTTTAGAAGCCTGGGATCAAATCCATTCATTATAGCAGTTGTTCCATCAACCGTTGACTTCCAAAGGAAGATTGTAGAAAAATACAAACTAGTTGCGGGAGAACAATCTCCCCCGCCTTACCTACAGCCACCACGGTGAGCTCCACCTCCTTCTCCACGAGGACGTTCTCGTCGTACTGCGGCAGGAAGAGGGTGCGGTTGATGGAGCAGCGGAACATCCCCGTGTCATTGAAGGTCACGTTGAGAATGTAGATGGCTCCTATCTGAATGTCGCTGGTTTTCGTCCCGCGCCACTCCAGGCGGTCGCTGAAGTCTTCGTGGAGGATTTCGGCGCTGGGGTGGTCATAGTGGAAAATCTAAGAAGGGGTTTAGTATTTCAGGAATGTTCCTGTAATTGGAGGGAAGGCTTTAATGTCTCTATGATACACATCCAAAACTTCCTCTATACTGCATATAATAACATTATAAATGAGATGCTAGACAATGTAGCATGTTCTAAAACATAGAAATTACAGGGATCTGACAAGAGACACATACGTGAAATAGATAAAAAGTAATTAAGACAAAAGGCCTCATAACAGGCTTTTCCATCTGCAATAATTCGTCACGTCCCAGTTTCAGCATCAAGAAGCCTTGATGGTAGAAGAGAACCCTTTTAATTCAGAAACTTCAAACCACATGTATGTATGTATGTATGTATGTATGTATGTATGTATGTATGTATGTATGTATGTATATAAGAGCCCTCTCGTGTGGGAAAGGGGGGGGGGGACTCACATGTCTGAACTCCTCCTCTCCCGGCGGTTTGAAGTGCCAGTCCACGGTGCTCTGGGCGGACACCTCCTCTCTCCTCTTACAGGAGATGCAGCCCAGCAGGAAGCCTTCTCCCGCCACGGCTTCAGTCAGCGAGTCCACCTCCGCACAGGCGCCGTGGCACTGAGGCGCTGAGGAGGGAGGAAGAAAGGTAAAGGACACAATGGGGAAGGGGAAGAAAGAGACGACGAACATGCCGGTGTGTTACTGTACGGACAACTTTGCAATCATCACAAATTTGTTTCCCTTGACGTAAAAGTAAAATGTATGATTTTAAAATACAGTTCTATCTATCTATTCAGGATCAGAAGCCATTACACATATGTTACACAGAGGAATTTGACGTGCATTGGTGGAATATAAGAATAAAGAATAGAAAATATACAAGCAAGAATTGCTAAACAGCTTTACAGTGTTAATGAAATGAAGCCCAAAGAAAAAAAGCTGAATCATCGACAGCTTTAATAAAAACGCACTTTACAGTCTATTAAAACTCTCCATTACGGTGCTTAAAATGCAGACCTTTAAAAACCCTAAACCCTAAAAAGAAAAAAAGTATGTAAAACTTTGTCATGCACCAACGTCAACAGCTTCTCGCTGTTGTACTTACCTAAAAGATTGAAGACAACCAAAAAGGCGACGAGGAAAATCATCTCTGCGTTCCAGCTGTAAGACGGAACCGTGAACTCTCTTTGACGTAAACCTGTGGCGTTTAAGATGCCATTACTGACAGAATGCCTCTGGACTTGACCGTGGTTCTTTTGCAGTCGAGTTTTAAGTCTCCCCTGCGGTCCCGTCTGACTTCAAGGCAGCTATAATTAGAGCGTGTGAATCCAGAAGAGTTGGACGTTATGAAAGGAAACCGGAGACGTGGACACTGGATTCACGGCCGCAGCTCCACCGCCTCAACACGGACCACAAATAAGTTTGGGTCAGTCCCCTTTTCGGCCAACTTTCGCCACATCCCCCTGAAAGAAGTATGTGTTTTTTCCTTTTTAGTGGGTGCTTATCTTTGGCGAGATGCATTGTGTTTGTTACCGGATAAAGGACAAAGCAGCTGGTCGGTTATGCAAAATCGTTCCAGGCAGGGATTTGTTTAACAAATGTTTTCAGACAAACACGCTGTTAAAGTGATAGCTACAACTGACTCAAACCATGCAGGGCTCTGATCTCCTGTCTAGGAGGGGCGTTTATGTTTTTGCTCAAGGGAGCCTCAGCAGAGAAGTGTTTGCTGCAGTGTTTTCTGTCATTCGATTAGAGCGTTAGCATCTTGTTGATTCAAGTCCGCCTTAATGTATCACTGACCCCCTTTTCTATTACTGACCAGACGCTCTCGCCGCCACAATCAGTCTGTTGCTACTGTACATTAACGGACTAAACAGAAAGTTAACAAGTCTAATTCATTCTTTATCAATCTTGTTTGGTAAATCACCCAAAAATGAATTGGATATCAATGAGGAAAAACGGGTTTTCATCTCTGAATGCTAATTTCCATTAATCTATATCAATAAATCACTCACTCGTTTAATTTCCCTCTGGTTCAGTTGCTAAAACCCTAGAAGGAGCCGTCTCCCGACGGCACCGCCTCTTTTTCTCATCAGTCTGGACGGCCGCCGTCAAAGGGTCTGACAGTCAGTCAATGCCAGAAAGACGAGGCCGCCGAAGTCAAGGCCGACCAAACAGACATTGACAGAAGGCCTCGACTCGCCTGCTGACTGCAGAGATCCACGTGGTCCGTACAGTCAGCAGCCCGACCTGATGAATGCGACCATGCGGTACCTCGTCACATGTCAGATCCAATTAAACATGTCCCTCTCCGAGGTCGTACAAACATTAAAAAAAGGAAAGAAAAAGTTTTGAGTTTTGAGTATGCAGTGTGTGTGTGTGTTTATGTCATGAGCTGTAACCAGATAACACAGTGAAGCATTTAATAGGGGCCTCGCCTCTTTTTACCTTGTGGTAATAAAGTCTCTGAAGGGTTGTGACAATAAAAAAAATGGTCCAATCAATCTTGAAATTTACATACGTGTTCTGAAGCGGGTGAGAGAAAGATCTTGCGAGCGTACACAGAGGAGAGGGGGTGGGGGGGCTTCAAGGAAATGTGACATGTGGTCATAATGGGGGGGGGGGGGTGTTGCATCCTACTACATCACACAGGGAATGACACACCTCTCTTCTCGTGTTTTTTCTTTATTTTTAGCACAGATCGAGTTTCCAGTCCCTCCTCCCACCACCAGCTCCCACCCTCCCTGGCCGAGCAGCCCGAGGAGATCAGCTGCACATCTCCTCTTGGAACCTGTGCAGCGCGGACGTCGGTTCCTTTCCGGCCGGTGACGTGTTGATTGCAGGAGGCAGTCGCACGGAGTTATAAGACCGGACGATGCCCGGGTGGAGCCGTGGGGAATATTTTGAAATCGCAAAGTCATTGCGATGCTCTGCCATCGATTGGGAAAAAAGGGATACGGAGGAAAGCTGCCGGGAGAAAATCACAAAGGGACGGACGGGTAAAGGCAATTACACTCCAACGACCGGTTTTCAGGATATGTGTTGTTACTTATAGTGATGAAAACTCTTGTTAATTTCTCTGTTCTATAGCGTCCGAGGTTTAGTTTTTAGAATGTGAAGATTCTGCCATAATGTGGGTTTTTTTAAAGTGTGGTACCACGAGGGCTCATCATTATGGAAATAAGTCTAAAAGAAGTGTGTACAAAGGGTTGGTACCAGAACTCAATAAAGTTGAAGTCGTATTTGCGGTAGACTAAAAATGTTGTGTTCTTCTAAATCCGCAAGTTATCAGTCAATTAATCAATTAATTGATCAGCACAAATTCATGCTGCATCTTATGAATGTTTTCTTATGTGATAAAAAGCTGAATATCTTTGGCAAAACAAGTTATTTTAAGATTTTACCTTGAGTTTTAATTAACTGAAGACACCAATTTCATAATCGAGACACCTTATTTTGAATGGGAAAAATAACAATTATTCCCTCTAAATCTGGAACATAAATTAAAGAAACGAATCAATGGTAAAAAAGAAGAAGAATGTATGTTTCTCTGTATAATAAATGGGTGTGTTTGAACCCAGTTTTCATTTATGTTATATAATCTCCGAGTTCATAAGAAGTGTATTTTAATTTGCTTTCAACTTCAGCCGTATGTGTCCCGGAGGAGAGGACATTCCATCTCACACAGGCTGCACCCTGCTTCTAACAGCCCAGGCACCTTATGAAGTGATGCTGCTGGAAGAGGCGAGGGGTGAGATGATTGGGCCTGAATGCCATGCACAATATGCCACACTGTAGTGTTGTTACTTCTAAAACGCTTCAATTATTAAGCTTGCATAGACTTACAATCCTGACGTACAGTTTTAAAAGCAGTTCAGTGAGGTAGGTGATGAGAAAAGTGATCAGTTTAACGACTGCATAGAACCGTGTTGGACGCAAGGGGTCGCAATATTAATGCCCATTGATTTCCATCACACAGCAGCTCCCTTCAAGTTAGCTCAGGAATTATGTCTAAACGATTGATTTACCTGTAAGCACTTAAGTGTGTAAGTGCACATCGTGTTGTTTACGGCAACAGCAACAAAAAAGTTGAGGTGACGTCATGTTTGTTGTATGGATATCCGATTATTGACAAGGTACGGGACTGCTTCATGTGTTTCTCTGGGAAATACACAAGCGACGTGGAGGATTTGTTTTATCGCAGTCCGTATTTTATGGTTTAAAGTTTAAAATGGTGTGATTTTGTGTGATGCAAACACTGACTCGTCTGCTTCTTTCGCCACATCCCCCGAACAGTTATTTTCTCGGACCGTACCATAAAGTTGGTCGGAGGGGTAGTCATTTTATTTTACTGTTGGTTTTGTACATTTAACTACATAGTAATTGTTTATTCCCATAACAAAAAACAATTCTCATCTTCATGAATTATTATACTTGCGTTAAAGGAACACGGCTTTGTTTTATAAAACCGATCGTATCCCCCCGGCCCCCCACGCGTTGAGTGGTCTGAAGTTCCATTTCACTTTTTGACATAAAAAGTGTTGTGTTTTACGTCGATGCGCTTGTAATGCTAAGCTAACATTGCTCTCTAGCTTTACATTTCGCTTGACAACAGTGTTTTATATTGCGGTGGTTTTAAAGTGAAAATGAAAGACGTCGGCGCAGTACTTTATGTGCCGGTGGTTAAAGCCTGCTAGCCATCTTTTGTGAGCTGTCGGCCTTCGGAGTTCGGGGGGGGGTAACGTGAGCTAAACTCGGGTTGTGCTTTTAGCGTTAGCTGGCTAGGGGCTAACCGTTAGCTGCAGCCGGCAGATGATTTATTTACGCGACCAAGAATGTTGATGTGTTCCTGCGAAAAAGTGGATTTTAACGTTACTCCCCGCACCGTCGCCCGGTTGGTTTTCGAGGCCGAGCAAGATAACAGGAACGGAGGAAACTCATCTAATGGGAGGTAGGAGATCCGACTCGCGTCTTCCCCGCGCTGCAAAGTTTTCTCATTTTCTCCTCCTGTGCCATTTGTGTTAAACCCGGTTTCGTTGGTTCCTCCGAACTGCGCAGCGGACATCGGGCTGTTCGCGTAACTGCAGATCATTTACAGATACACAACGATGTTGTGTAGCAGACCGCTGGGATGTGACGTTATATCACACCAACGGCGGTTCCTCAACACTGACAACGTGTACTTACTCTTCCGAAATGTCCGTGGTCCGTTTGAGACATTTGTGCGATAATACGTTGACTTGGCCCTTGTGTGTGTGTGTATTTTCTTGGTTTTTGTTTTTGCAAAAAGATGATCAGGCTTGCTTGGACCCGAGAGCAGGGATTATGGTGGATTACTCAGGACAAACAAGTCGGTGCCAAGATTGGTCTTGTTCAAACAGATCACCGCAAATACTCTAGACGTGCTTGTGGAACTTGCCTTGGAAGTGTCTGCTTTGATGGCAAACAATGGAGTGACACACACACACCTTCCCTGTTGGAGGACACAACTGCAGTATGTTTACATGTAGTTATGACCTTGATAGCCCGTAGCAGCAGTTGGACTTGTGTTATTTGCTGTTCACGTCTGTGGCTGTGGGAGATTGTGTGGTTGTTCAGAAAGGACATCTCATATGGAGCCTGTGCTTTTTTTTTTTTTGTCAAAAGTCGTCTGATCTTTTCCTGATCAGACTGATGGTTTTCCTCGCAAAGCGGCAGTTGACATTTCACTCTGTGGGACTGGTGTCATTTACAGTCATTTTAGGCTGTTTTTCTTGAGTTACTTGAAGGGAGATGGTGTGGAAATATGGAGCTAAAGTGACGGGCAATTCCCCAAACCCGGGTAAAAGAACCCATTTAAGATTACTCTCCATAAATAAATCCTATTGATGCTCCCTCTAACGGGAATACAGTTTCATTGCATACATAATCATCACATGATACCTCATAATTCCCAGAACGGGAGCATTCTGGGCATAAAGTATCAAAGACCAGACAGAAATAGCCAAAGTCACGCAGTCATTCGTTTTAGTTTGGAAGCAAAACAATTTAGACTTTTAAAGAAAAGTAAGTCTGGTGTAGGCCAGGCTTTCTTTGAATGCAAAGTGTCTGCTCTTGTGACTCCTCAGGTACCTAAACTTCCCGACACAGACTGAGGGACGTCGGGCAGAAGAAGGCCTGAAGCTCGTGAGGTTAATGCAGAAAAGGGACGCTAGAGCATTTTCTTTCTTTTTTTTTTTTTCTCTCGCTTTACAAGCGTATAAAGACTGGGAAAGGATTGGCCAATAAACTCAAAGGTCTGACAACTGATGAGGTAGACTACTTCCCAATGTCCTTACAACCCTGTTGACTTGTGCGCTGCTTTGTGGTTGAACCACTTGTGGCGGACTGGACTTGGTTGATATGAAGAAACTTTCTTGTTCACTGGAAATGAAGAATAATTGACTCCTTTACCGGTTGACTACTGTGGCTTAAAATTATTTTCCCGAAGGGAGGGTTTGATTTTGTTTAGCCATCCTGTCTCTAAAATATCAACCATCCATCTGGGTCCCTCATGGTTCAGTCTCAACCCTCAAGATGCAACAAACGCTGATTGGTTGTCGCCCTTGACCTTGGAGAGAAAAAATAAATCGTTGAAAGCTTTGAAAATGATGATGTCCTCTCCGGTGGGACCAGAGGGCATCCCTTTAGCTCAGCCCAATCCCGTCCCAACGCTGACGATCCTGCCACCGTCTTCGGGCACAGAGTCCTGGTCTCGCTCCCCGAGCCCCCGAGCGCCACGCTCCAGCCGCCACGGTCGCTCCCACCGCAGCCGGACCCGCGGCAAGAAGCGCAACGAGGACGAGCCGCGCTGCGCTCCCAAGCGGCCGTGGGGGAAAGCGCCTCAAATCGTAGTGGAGGAGACAGCGGGTCAGGGTACCGTCCAATGTCGGACCCCGTCGCCCTCCCCCTCTGTGGCCAGTCAGGTGGAAGGGGAGGAGCACGGTCAGGAACACCCCTCACTGGACCTCCTGTTGCCACCGCCGCGCTCCTGGTCTCGCAGTCCCTCTCCCAGCCGGCGCTCCCGGTGGTCCTTCAGGAGCCTGCTCAGCAGAGACTCCGACTGGGAGAGCTGCAGGTTAGTGTGCTGGATTCGTCCCACATAACCAGCCGGTTAAAAGAAATCACGCAGTGAGCAATAGTGGAATAAACTTCCTGCTGTGCAGAGTTTGCATTCTCCTTCATAAAGCCTGATGTTCATTCATTCAATTGTTACTTTCTCTCTCTCTGGAAGATCTGCACTCATCTTCCAGCATCTTGCTCAGTGGCTCAGAACCAAGCAACCATACTGCCAGCACTGTGTTTGCCAGTCTCATGGGTATTCCACGCCTGTAGCTCTGGAAAAACCTCAGCCAATTTGCATTCAGGCCCTGTGAGACCAGATTTGGCTGCAATGACTCCCTAGAGTGAGAAGTCATCTGCGCATGTTGGTGAAAGAATCAAAAGCCTTTACATCGGACAGATTTATTCTGGGTTGACTTATTTCAAATAATACGTGAGGTGTTTGGAGCAGTGTGGAGTTAATTAGCAACTCAAAGCAGTGAGGACACGTTACCCTGTTAAAATCCCGACTGAATTGTGTTTAATATATGACTGGAGGTAAAAAGAAGAGGCCAGAACTGGTTCAACTTCAGTGATGAATTGGCCTTTGCTACCCTGTAGAAAACCTACATCATAAGGCCTCCAATTGATTGTTATTTCAAAACAATAGTATAACCCCTACAGGAAAGATTCAATTATTATAACTGCAATGTTCTATAAACTGTACACAAAGAAAGTGAGACCGCTGTTGTGTCAGTGAGGGGGGAAAAATAGAGCTGGATCAGTCCTAAGGAGCTAGAGGCGGGGTTCGTGCGCCATTTATCCCTCTTCCGAAGCATGACATCACCGACAGCCAATGGGAGTGTGCTCATAGTCTGATGATGTCATGTGCGTCCAATCAGAGGCTGGTCTGGGCACCATAGCTGAGGGTGATTCTCTCCTTGTCCTCCATATGAACAGCTGTGCCCTTGTCATCTTTATTTACACATCATTTTATTGACCCAGTTATACTGTTTTTCTGAATAATTAATTCAACTTAATATCCTGACTCCCTAAATATTATGACACCGTCCTTGTTTTTTCATTTAAATATGTTAATATTTGGTAAATATTTTTGGAGTAACGCCCCAGGAAACTACTGTAAAGGGATATGCATACCAAAAACATACGTATCATATGGAGAAATCCCCCTATTTACACTTGGCACTCAAATTAATGTATTACACAACAACAAACCAATTGAGGACTTGCATGTGCGTAGAGGAAATTGATTTCCAGTTAGTGTCACGGTCATGTGTATTTTTTTTATAGAATTACGGTTGATAGCGGGACGTCATGCCAGTGTGTCGTGTATTGGTTAAAACCTGGTGTGTGTTGAACTACAATCATTTGGAGGTGGTGTTTTTAGTTCACAACTCTACATAACTATGATGTTTATACATGTAGAGAGAGGGACAAGGTCTAACAGTCCACGGCGCAGTGACCCGGGGACTGATTGTGATTGGTTGTAACGGTGACCTCTCTGTCTTTCTGCCACACTGTATCCGTGTGGATTACAGTCTGTATTCAGTTGGTCTGTTTACATTCACTCTGATTATTGATCCACTTTTGGGCTGGAGTTTATTTTACTGTGACTGGCTCGTGTTTAATTTCCAGCGTCATTGTATTTGCTGTTTTGATAATCCGCTTTGATAGTCATATCCTTCAGTTTGTATGTTTGTTTTATGTATGTTGGATAGTGTACGTATCTGAGGCGCTTTTGTATTTGCTAGAAGACGCTATAATCTAAAAAATGATCCTAACATTTTAAAGAAACCGATCTGGGCGCTCCCTTAAGTCCCTGACGTACTTCTTTTTATCTTGCTCTGTTGGCAGGAAGGAAAAGGCATTCGAGCAGCACCTTTTTTGCATTTTGCATACCCACTTCCTTCGGCTATTCTTCTCTGCTGCATTCCGTTTCTCACTGTCCACCCAGCCCGCTAAACGCGACTTTATGGTGGGCCATTTGGTGGACAGATTACACAGAGGGGGACTGAATGGTGGAGATGTCGGTCGTGCTCAGTCCAGCCTGGATTACGACGTGGACTCTAATCCAGAGGGTTGGACGGAGAGATTGAGGGTTGGTGGATTGCGTGAGCTCTGGGCTTCGTCCAGGTGGATTCACCACGGGCTCCGTATTTTCAAAATGCCAGTCGTGTCTTTGTTTTTCTTTACTAAAGGGCTTCTAGCTGAAGGTATCAACTAAAGAAATGCATTTATTGTGTGTGGAACATATAGACTGAGAGCTTTTATAATCTCAATTTATTTTTCCTATTGATAAACCATATTTTTTTCAAAGAATCCTCTTGGTGTATGAAAGTACCTTCAAACACACAGCACCTGGGAACACCGCAGATCCTCACAAGTGACCTGCAGAAACACCTGCTGATGCTCCTTCTAAACATCTGTTCGGGATGGAATAAGCAGATACAAAGCCAGGACTTCCCCTTCTGTAGAAGGAGCTAATTGCAAGTAGCAGGAGCTGTCTTGCTAAATGTTCTTGTGACATCGAGTTCGTGAAGTTCTTCAGATAAAACCTTTCAGTTTGCCTTATCATCCTTATCGGTTCCCCCGGTTGAGCTCCACCTCACATCAAGGCCTCGCTCAGCACATGCAGCCCGCCTCCTCCCTCCCCTCCCCTCCCCCTCCCCCTGCCCTCCTCTCCCCTCCTCTCCCCCTCCCCCTTGTTGCAAAGGATTACCGGTGGCCGCAGAGACTGCAGCCCGTTACCGGGTCCTGCTAACGGGCATAGGGGGAGCCGCGGACCGTCCGTTACCTGGTCGGCGAGGTGCGCGGGGGAGGGTGGGGGTGGAAGGCCCGTTGGCGACGATGAGAAATTAAGCCTCCGACCGCGGGACGGTGGGCGATGGGCGGAATATCCACGCCGAGGCTGAGCGAGGAAAACCAGGCACAAGAGCGGACGCACTCCCCTGTAGCGTCTGGCTTGCTTTAGCCGCGCGCGCACACACACGCACTGACCAGGACCACTATATATTGACACAATAGGTAACGGCAACGCGTGTTTTTCCCCCCTCCCTTTTTGCGGATATAATCTGGATCGCCGGCGACCCTGGACATGTTCGAGTAAGTGACACAAACGGAGCCTCCCGGTGCGACGGGGCGCGCGGCGCGCACAGCGCTCCTCCGATGTGGTCGCGTGAGTCACAGCTTTGATAAATCCGTCCGACTGCGTGCACGCACGGGGACGGAACCCGGCTCGTGCAAACACACACGCGCACGAGCAGGTGTGTAGGCTGACGCTAGCTCTATTAGCAGAGTGCTAGCTGTGTGTGTGTGTCTGTGTGTGCACACCCCACCCCACCTCCCCGTTTCTCTGACCACAGCAGACCTCCACCCGTGCACGCTCTCGCAGTCCGTATTGGAACAAGACGTCTCGTTTGTCTCACGTGCTCGTGCGGTGGTTGTCTTCACTGTTCCTAGACGAGGACACGTAGCTGTCAGCGGGTTGTGCATTTATTAGTGGAATAACCTTGTGTGTGTCTGACGGGCCGTGGTGAAGAGGGATTCCTATTGGAGGAAACGAGTCCACCCGACGGTGAAACGTGTTGTTTATGTGTGAAAACGACAATGGAAATTGTCCTTTTTTAAATGAAGCATTCTTAATGAGCTCCTGATCGGGGAAACGATGTGACGTGACGTCACGTTATCGATAAGGGAAGAATTGGTGGAGAAACGGTCAGAAGTGTCTCTCCAAAGCAGAATGCAGCCCAATCGAATTGTGGCCTCCGTTTATTGAAGTTTTTGGATTTGGCTTCTTGGGAATTTTCCTCCTCTGTGTTGGTTCAAAGCGTCGTGGCAACGCTGCAAGTCAACGAGGGGGATGTTTGTGATGTTGTCATGAGGTGACAACGTAAAAGTATGGTTAATCCTTAAAGTAGTCCATTAAACCCTTCTAGAGTAAATGATTTGCTCACACCTTGGTTGTCTCTACTATGTTGTGTGTCTATTTGAGACCAATTCAAAGGGATACTGTTATTCCTTACTTGTTAAAGGCTGACTCTACTTTATCTTTTTTGTTGTTGTTTTTTGTTGCCTCTGATGCTGGATTGCCCTTGCTGTGTATTTTTAGCCGATAGCTATTTTTGAATTGACAAATAAGACTGGTACATTAGTCTCTGTGGCTGCTCTCTGTTAATTGCCTGTAATTAATAACGTGACGACACAATTTCTTGTGTCTTGCGTTTAGGAGGCGATCATTTCTGACTCCTCTGCTTCCCGTCACTGAACTCCCGCGTTGACGGGGTCCGAGTTGTACTCGTGACATGTTTTTATTTTTTTTTAACCATTTATCTCACCTAATGGACCGAATCACCTGTTGTAGACGTGAGGAACAGGTTGTTGTGCTGCATATGGAGAAAGTTCATATTTATTTGACCACTTATGACCCTCTGAAGCGTTTGAGATCGATGCAGCATTTGATTAGGTCTGACCTTATGCACTTGCGTAGCACTACAACGTCGTTTAGACAATATCCATATTAAATGCATTAATGAAGTAAGAACATCGGCCCAGATTATTCTCTATTCCATGGTACAGTAATCCTTATCACTGAAGCTGGGGCTCAAAGTGGATCATCTATGGATCGAGGCGGTTTGGTATGCGTGAGTGGAGAGAGAAATGTTGCTCAGAGGGCGTAAATTAGGTGAGGAGTTTGTGGTTTGGTGTTTTTGGAGTCTAATCTCTCTACACAGATTCTGCGTCCGTTTGCAGTGGGACGGGATTTTGTGGATTTGAAGCGCGTTCAAATCAAAACTTGGCTCAGTTCGAACGGTCACACGTGTCGTTTCTCAGCCCCAGTGATGCCGCCGGGTCCCTGAGGCTCGTCGTTGGATGGGTTCGGTGATCGGTGAATCTCATTGAATCCAATAAATGGAAAACAATCTAGCGTGGTCTTGAAATTTTAGTTTAATTTCATAGCGGTTATCAATCATGTTTCTCAGAAGTGTCTCTAATTGCTGTGCTTTTTCATTCCTCAAATGAAGTTCTTGGTAGACTTTAGTTTTCCGTAACCCTTCCTGATTGGCCGGTCTTCAGACCATTTAACTGAACGACTTTCGGAAGAGTCTAAAATCCGCTACCCGGCATTTCTTTGGCCTTCAGTCGTCCGAGTGAGATGCCACACCGATGTCAGAGCAGAATGGTGTGAACCGTCGTCCCGTGTGTTAAATATTTCTACTTTTTTTTTCCTCTTTCCAGTACGGCCAGTAACTCTCCACGCAGCACCCCCGGCAGCTCCCCCTCCCTGCGGCGCAGGGTCCTCGGGGGTAGCAGGGAGGAGGGGGGAGGAGGAGGAGGAGAGAAGAGCAGCGCAGGAGGAGCAGGAGGAGGAGGAGGAGGAGGAGGTTCAGATAGCCCCCTGCCCTCCATACCCTCTGCCTCCTCCCTCACCTCCGCCTACCCGCTTGCGTCTCGCCACTTCAGCCGTAATGCCAAGGTAACAGATTATTAAGTAACTCTTGTTGTTATGTTCAGGACTAAACCTCTGCTCGTATTGAGAGCTGAGACCAGGACTAAGAACCTGCTACATGTACTGTGTGATTGCTGTGTGAGTAGAATACTTTCATCCTTTTCATGGGATCCCATTGCGTTTATTTTCTGCAAACCCTGTGAGGTCGTCAAAGACTCAAATGCTTTGCCTGATGAGCTGAATCTTAAACATTTGATAACGGGCTACAAATCTGTTGCACTATTCTGGCAGGATTTTAAAAACTATTCTAACTTGCATCTGCATTTTCAGTTTGACTTTTCAGAATAAGAAAATTCCAAAAACATAGCAGTTGATACTCATGAGGCAGTGATTTACCTATTTAGCATTCAGAGGTTGTATGCCTTTTTTTAAAAAGCAGGAGTAGCTCCAAACTAATGTTTCTCAAGGCCTAAAAATGGCATCAACCCATTTATTGCTGCAGCAGCTTATGAAACACAATGGCCATCATTTAACTCTATTTTAATGTTTCATGAGTCAATCCATTTGTTAAACTAGATCCACTCGACACTCTGCTGCTGAGCTTCATCTGAAATAAATCTTCAGGCTCAGATGACAAACATCTCGTCAATGGCATTCCACCGTTGAGTGAATGTAAATGTTTATTTAGTACGCTTTCCCTTTTTAGACGAGCGAGCTGTTGCGATGTCGGCGGACTGCCGAATGTTTGCGTGTTGGTTGTGCATTTACTCCCCTGTCTGGTTCTGTATGATTGAAGGTTCTTTTTAGGCTCCCACATCCGCTTTTGTTGTGAATGGAACCGCTTATTGTATTAAAGCTGCCTGAAAGCTACATAAAAAGTGCAGTCTCGGAACTGGACTGGTGGGATTTAGTGCACATGGATATTTTTTTTGCGGCGAAATGTCACTACTAAATATGCTTTTCTTTCCTTTTACAGAAAATGCAGAGCTGGTACAATGTGAGTATGCATGAAGGGCCCCTGGTCTATTTGAACTCTCAGCACGGTTAAATTATGAAGCACGATACCATTACGGTTCTCCTTCTCGGTCCTCAGGTTCTCAGTCCCACGTACAAACAACGGAACGAAGATTTTCGTAAACTCTTCAAGAAGCTTCCTGACACCGAGCGTCTTATAGTGGGTGAGCGTGCCGAGGCGAGCTACTCGCCGGGAGGATGAAATTCCCTTCGCACTCCCTTCGTCTCTTAAAAACCGAACCTCTTGACTTGTTAAAACGGCTTTCTGATGCAAGCTGTCTGTCTCTTTTCGGCTGACCTCCTTTTTCTTTTCCTGTTTCTCCCCGCAGACTACTCCTGCGCCCTGCAGAAGGACATACTGCTTCAGGGCCGCCTCTATCTGTCGGAGAATTGGCTCTGTTTCTACAGCAACATCTTCCGCTGGGAAACCACTGTAAGCCGTGCGCACACTGTGTACACATCTGCACGCGCACAATCGGTCAAAGGCCTGCGGTGAAGCTGGTTAATGTCGCACCTGCCATCAGATAAGGAGTAGTTTTAATGCACTTGTTTGCAGTTCAATGCCGATAAGCTCGGGCCGTTTCGAGATAAGAGTATCAGACACACACACACACACACAGTAAATCTCCCTCCTTCTCGTTACAGATCACTATCCTGCTGAAAGACGTGACCTCTATGACCAAGGAGAAGACTGCCAAGCTCATCCCCAACGCCATCCAGATCAGCACTGACAACGAGAAGGTCGGCCTCGAGCTCCGACGCTGTTCAGCATAACTTCTGGCCCCTTTTCAAAGAGCTGCAGACTTTTATTTTCAGCCTGTTAACTGAAGATAAATAAAGCACATTTCTATGGTGTAGCAGCACATTCACAATCCTTTACAATTAAAGTTAACTGCTGCTACAAAAGCATGAAAAGTGAGCTGCTGATATTGTTTGCTGTATCTGATTGGTTGTTTTTGAAGCAGTGTGAAGTGAGCTGACTCGACGTTTATCTCCTCTGTGACAAAGCAAACATCCCGAAAGTGGGGAAACCATCGGTCTAATCATTTTTTATCTTCTTTCTTCCTTCCTTTTTTTCCTCCCTGTCCAACTGTCGTCTCCCCTCTCAGCACTTCTTCACATCTTTCGGAGCAAGGGATCGCAGCTTCATGATGATTTTCCGCCTGTGGCAGAACGCCCTGTTGGACAAGGTACAATCTTCTCTCCCACCCGCCTGCCTGCGGTGACGTGGCTGCTAGTTATCATCTCGGAATAGAGCAGCGTGTCAAGTAGCAGGAAATGGTCCCCGGAGGACCGTTTCAAATCACTGTTATTTGCTGCTTTCGGTTGAAGGCGATTTTTATTTGGACAGCGGCCAAGCAAATGGCACATGGCTGCGGGATCGACTTAAGGCTAACAAACAAAAGGCTTCAATGATATATCATTAAATGGTCAATTTAAACTGAACGATGGAATTTGTCTGAATGCAAGTCAGCAGAATGTTGATTTAACGCAATGCTTGTAGTATATTGTGACTCATGACCCTCATTATGCTGATGTAGTGGTTGAGCCTTGATCTTGATATCCTGCTGAATAAGTGTTTTTTTTTTTTTTTGTTTCTTTTCATCTTCCAGTCTCTCTCCCCCAAAGAGCTCTGGCACATTGTGCACCAGTGTTACGGCACCGAACTGGGCCTCACCAGTGAGGACGACGACTACGTCTCCCCCACCACCGAGCACATGAACGGCCTACTGTGAGTCTCCAAAGCTGTGCAGCGGAGAGCGAGTTGTTTTCTTTACTAATATCACGGCACTACGTATGCAATGTTTGACTTGGACTTTTTTTCTTAACTCTCTCATAAGTAGTCTTACGTAATTGGTCTTTTTTATTTGGGTCATTTTTACATGCATAAGTAACACATTTTACTTTTTAAAATACTACTATGCATTATTTATCGGACATTTTGGGACTATTGTTCACCATCACTAATATTTAAGCATTTGTTTTGTCAACCAATACTTTTCTAGTATTATAGACAAAGAGGCCATGTCTGTTTTATTTGCTGAAAGCGACAAAGCAGGTGGAGAAAACCACCTTCATCGGGTTGTTGAGTTGCATGTTTGTGCAATTTCCACCAGACCAACTGACATACATATTGCATGAGGGGTTAGTTTAACCAAACAAGGGGTTCCTTTTTTTGCGGTTTTCTCTTTTCTGTGTGCTTAGTATTCCTGTTGGGTCGAGGATTTCTGTGTAAGTCCTTCTTCCTCCCTCTCCCTCCCCAGGCCGGGAGACGATTCCGTGTCGGTCACGGATCTGCTCGACCTGAGCTCCGTGTCGGTTACCTCCTTGGGCAGCTCCCTCCCTCCCCTGTTGGCCTGCGGTCTCGCCAGCCACCCCTCGGCTACTCACCTCGGGGGCTCCTCGCCCCCTTCCTCCGCCTCATGCCTGCCCATAGAGGTGCCTTCGTCGTCGGGACGCAGACTCAGCTCCGATCCCCTCGAGCCCAGCCCGCCCAGCTCCCACAGCTCGCTGCCTTCCACCACTCCCACCGACATGTCGGCCTCTGCTGCCGCCGCCTCCTTCGTGAGTTGTGCGATATCGTTAAATGTCCTATTTTGTTTTTGGCTTCTTGATCAAGAGAGTGAAGCAAGAATAGTAAAAGACCTGCACCGCCTGATACGGGTTGTTACAAAAAAACGGACATGTACGTCTGCTCCTGCCGCTTGCAGAGACCTGGCGAGCTACACGGTGGGGATTAACTGAATAAAGAAATCCATCACCTTTCTTTGGCTTTGGGTCTCATAACTAAAGATAAAAAGCTAATCACTAAATTCGTGTGCACTAGATGTCTGCTGTAGTAGATGTGGGTCAAACACCAAAGCGCCAGAGGGAGAAGTATTCACGTCATAAGTTACACAAAACGACTAGCGTAGAAGCGCTCCTGTGGCACAATCAATGTTCCACTGATCGTGTCCTGCGTTTGTGCGATGCAGAGTAAATCGTGGGATCCAGCCAGCTGTGATTCACTTTGCATTTGATTAGCTCATCTGATGTACAGTTGCTAACTCATTCAGTGCATGTGGATATAAATGGGGCTGGCTGGTCGTGTGTGTGCTCGCGCTCAGGGTCTCTTGGGACCCTAATAGAAGATTGGGGAGTGAGCTAGTCTGTTACTTTAGATTAGAATTCAAATCAGATGTCAGATTACAAAAATGAATACGGCAGGTTTGTTTGCATAGCGACACAGCTTAGAAAAGGATAAAATAACGTATTACGTCAGCATCGAACGGCAAGTACACAAAGTGAAACAGACCAGAAATACGAGATGTTTTAGGTGAAGCCGCGTAACACTGGGTAGTAGTCGGTCCTTTCATCGATCAGTTGTGCTCAAACGGCTGCTGGGGTTGCTGATTTGGACGTGTTGGGATCAAGCCGAGCTTAGGTGAATAAATGGTGTGCTGTGTTGACTGCATGTCAGTCTCCGGTTTAATTGCAGGGCTGCAGTGGTACGTCGGTTTACACGCGGCCCGCTCAGCTGAGGCCTCTTTCCGCTCAAGTCATATGACAATGGGGTGATTGCTCGACAGACCTCTTTGCTAACTGCTCCCCTCGCTGCTTCAGACTCTGGAAGAGGGAGGAGACAGCCTGTCCGAGTCGGCCAACTGCATGCCGCCCCCGACGACCACCAGTCTGGGAAACCTCTCCTCATTGGACGTGACCATCGACGAGGAGCTGCCCACGGACCCCAGCAACTCCTCCGACACGCAGGAAGAGAGTGAGTGTGGAACACGGGCCCCCAGAAGCGACGAGAGTGTGTCAATTATTGGAGGTTTAGAGTAGATTGTACAAATATATATTTTATTGGTAGCTTTGTTTTTTTTGTCCTTTTTTTTAAATACTTTTCATTGAAACACTTTATGTAATTGCGTGAACTCAGGAGGGTAAAACGCATGAATCAGACTTTTCCAAACTAAGCTAGAAACGGTACAGCTCACCAAAAATAACCAGATAATTATCTTTCTTCTTACCTGTCGAAGCATTTATTAAACCACTGCTGGAGATATTTCACGTAGGAACTATTTTTCTTTCTCCCGCACTGTACCCCCTGAGCTTTCCACCGCGCAGACAAAGTGTGCATCCTGACCCAATTCTGCCAGCGCTCATAGCGACACTGTGATAGCCCATTAAACCATTCAGCGTCTTTTCCAAAGAGCAAAAAGGTTTCTACATAACTAGTTCTGTAGGTTACTATGAGTCACGGGTCATAGTGCAAGAACTCAACTTTATTTCCGCAAAGAGGCACGTTTTTGTTGCAAAACATTTAAGAGATTGCACTATGGGTATTTTAATTTGCTCGTTAGAAGTTGTTTGCTTTAATCCGACCGTGAACTTCCCTCGTTGTTCTATTTTTTTTTTTTTCTTCGTCCTGTTCTCTGTGCATGATTTGTTTATTTCTGCTTCGTTGCCCCTCTTCTTCCTTCTACAGTAACTGCAGGGAAGCTCTTTCAATCATTAGCATGGAGTCATCTACTGCCCATTCTTCATACAACAGATAGAAATATTTGTAACGTCTGTTGTTGTTTTTTCTTCTTCTGTATTTCCAGGTGAAGTGGAGTCGTTCTGCGCCGACCTGAGCGGGCGGTTGCACATCAACAACGCGCTCCGCATGAGTGTGGACAAGCTGCACGACCTGCTCTTCTCCGCTGACACAAACTTCATCCAGCACCTCTTCTCCCAGAGGCACTTTACTGGTTGGTGAAACACCCACTCGAATATGATGCAGTTTCTCTTTGCTTAACACTCCCATCGATTTGTAAAGGTATACATACTTTTCTTTCAATTGGATCTTTTGAACCGACGCTTCACAGATCTGAACTTGCATTGACTTGTTTCACAACATTAAGCACCGGGGAGCCAGTTTTTCCTGTTGACACGGTGGCGGTTGGGGCCCGGTGTTTGTGTTTGCTCTGCTGCTTAGTGGACTCGTCCACCTCTTCTCCCTTCCACACGGCAGCGCAGAAAAGGTTTTTTCAAACAAAAGTAGGGAGCGATTCACAGCTCTGTGGGTGAAAGAAAGAACCAGAATTCTTTTTTGATGGCCAATGAACGTTACTTCAGCAGATTGGCAGAAGATGAAGCTGAAAATACTGGTCCATTAAACAGCAGAGCACTCGCGTTTGCAGTCCTTGTGTCCAGCCCTTTCCTCCCACTAAGGTGCACTCAGAGCACCGATTTGTGTTGTTACTGTAATGTTAGTTATGCAGTAAAAAAAAAAAAAAAATCTCTCTCGTATACGTCAATTAGTTTTTCTAATTAGTTTTTTTTTGTATGTAGTTTTTATTGCTCTTATGAAGCAGCTGTGATGCAGTTTCCACCTGATGAATACAAAAGTAGTGAAGCATCACCCTCCCCTCAAAGGCTGTGTGTCCTGCTCTCTATTGTGCTGCTAATGAGGGTAGCCACGCTAGCTGTTTACGCCGTGTTAACCAGCCTTCATCACGGCTTCTTGTCTTTGCCCCTCTGTTTTCTCATTACCTACCATTTTTAAATTGGGGACTTTTTTGGTCGGGAGACCACCCAGATTGGGGTACAATATATCGCCCTAATTGGAGCATCTTTTTTTTGTTTTTGTTTGAAGGAGTGTGGAATGACCCTCTTTGTTGTTGTGTTTTTTTTAATGTATTTTTTCTCTCCTGTACCCTTCAACCTCTGTAAATCTCCTAGTCTACGATCTACTTTTTCATTCATACATTCTGTACCTCTCCTGTTCTTATTTTTGAGAAATGTTCTGGGAATTCCTGCATTGTTTTCTCTTGACTCACTCGATGTTCTCTCGCTCTCTCAGACCTATCGGTGGGCGAGTGGGAGCCGGACAGCAGCAGCGGGACCACCAGCCGGGTGCTTAGCTACACCATCGCCCTCAACAACCCCCTCGGCCCCAAGACCGCCCCCGTGGTGGAGACCCAGGTCTGTCCCTTCACAGAAACGCGTATCTAGCTTTTAATCGGAGTCGTTTCCTCTGTGGTCGGATGTGCTTGATGTTGGGGGGGGAATTGATCTCATGCACTCGTACTTCATCACGAACGAGATAAAGATACATTTTTGATTTCAAGCTGTGTAAACGCGCCTTAACTGAAAAGTTCGGTAGCTTAAGAATCATCCAGTGTCAGGGAAGTGTAGATTTAACCGTGGTTGGCTATATGTGGAAAAGTGCATCTCATGAGTTACGACAAAGACCCGTGACGAGCAGAATGTAAGTAATGTGGAGGCGGAACATGATATATTTTAAACATGGGAGAGTCATGCTAAAGGAAGCAGACATCACTGCGCCGCTGCTAGCGAAGCTACTACAGAAACCCCATCAGAGGGCGACTGCTAGCAAAGCCACCATGCCGAGCAGCACGTCTCTCTTCGGCCACCGGCGCTGTACGCGACACCGACATTTTCCGACGTGCGCCGCCCGTCTGCTAGCAGCAGTTCCAAGTTGTAAACAGAGGGCGTGGCGGCGTTGCTTCAGTGTTCTTTGTCATTGAGCCGTATTAAGATGCAGACACGTGAATTTTTCCTCCACGAATGACAGGAGATCATTTGATTCTTTTCGTTTTGTGTTTATTTTATGCTGCAATGCGTCACCATAATATACAATTACTACATTCTGTCACACAGCAGATAAACAATATGCTCTTGTGCCTAATGCAGCTCTTCTGTGTTGCAATCACGGCGTCAATACATGGAGACACACAAGGAGCTTCAATACAACATAAATGCGTTCAATACAAGTTACATATCTTTAGTTCCTGCACAATGACCATAAATTAAATGATTAATATTCCCAAAATTCCAATGAAGTAATACATACACTTCTGGTTCTTACAGAGACTGTATGTCTATTGTAAACTGTTAACAGTTCATGTATTGTCCATAATTTGAAGTAAATATGGATAATATATGGAAAACAAGTATTGTTTTAGGCACTGTTTAGGCACCGGTATGTTTTATAAGTATTGTTTTAGCACTGGTATCAGGAAAACCCCAAACGATACTCATCCATAGTGGATAATTGTATAATTATAACATCTTGATACCGAATTAAATGGTGGGGGAAACGCTGTATGCTTTGGTATTCTCGTTGTTTAGTTTAAATACTACATTTTCTCACTTTTTCATGTAAACACTGAGATTTCCCTTATTTTGTCATGGAAATTTAGTTTGAAGTCATGGAAATCCACTGGCCAAAATGTGTATGAACCCTGTTTGTAGGTTTTGTTGCCGAAGTGAATGAAGCAGGTTACGTGAGAGGAAGAGACGTGGAAAGGATTGAATAATGGGACACTCAGTGTGTCCTGGAAGATATTCATAGTGTATCATCAGAGGGAGGGGGGCATCAGGGAGATCAGACCAACCACAAAGCTGGTTATTCATAGTATAAAGTAGGTATGAATGTCAGATTGCCGGTTTGATAAAATTACAGATATTTTGGACCACATTGCTCTCCCAGGTTAAGGGGGGAGGGAGGAAGGGGGGGGGGGGGCCCATTGTGAAGACGCAAATTTGTGCCTTTTTTTTTACAGCAGCTACCAATCAAAGAAGCCGTAACTATCAGACACGTCAAGGGCGAACCAACCCCATTAACTAACGCTCCTCCCTTTTTTGTGTTGCAGACGTTACATAAAAGCAGCGCCCGGGGCGAGTGCTTCGTGGTGGACTCTGAGGTCATCACCTCCGGCATCCCCTACCAGGACTACTTCTACACTGTCCACAGATACAACCTCACCTCCATCAGCAAGCACAAGAGCCGGCTCAGGTAGCTTTGTTTTTCTGCCTGCCCCATCCCACCAACTGTTTCCACTTTTCTCTCCTCTCAGACATAACTGGCCTTAACGTCGTACCTCGACTTGACATCGGTCTTATTTGCAGTGCACTTATTTTGCCTCTGTATCTCAGCGTCTCACATTGCGTTCGTGCTTTGAAAGCGGCGGTTGTTTGCTCCTCCTCCTGCCCAGAGTTTCCTCAGACATCTGCTACCGGAAGCAGCCGTGGAGCCTGGTGAAAGCACTGATCGAAAAGAACACCTGGAGCGGCATTGAGGAGTACTACAGACACATGGGTGAGTCACAAGCTCCGCCTTCTCTGGTTCAGATCTGCAGAACGCACAGATCCATTCAGCTTACCCCCCCTCCCCTTTTTAATGGCAAATTCACACAAAACTATTAAATAGATACATAGGGCAAAAACCAGAATTGGGAACAATAAAACATTAAACCGGCTAAAAGAATAAACGTTTGTGCAGTTTAAGAATTAAAATTGCTGTAGTGAAATACAACATCCTCGATTCTTGCTTCTTCCTGAGCACTTCCTCCACCTTCTCACTCTGCAGAGAGCGAGGTGTGCAAGCTGGAGACGCTGCTGCAGACGGAGGTCACCGTGGTGACCACGGGCGACGGGGTGGGCGCCGACGCCGCCAAGACGCCGCCCGCCCTGCGGCGACGCAAGCGCGGCTGCTCCCGGCGGCAGGGCGAGAAGGAGAGGGAGGGAGGGGGCCTGGGCTCCGGAGACCGAGGGGACAGAGGAGTCGGGGAGGAGAGGGACCGGAGGGAAACTAGTGAGTCGGAAACGCTTCAGTCAATCTTTTTTTGGGCAGGGGGGCGGGGATCCAACTGTCACTCAATCAAAGGGTTGAAGTAGGATTTCAAATCTATTGGTAAATGGCAAAGAATGGGATTAGTTGGAGACCCTTGAACATTATGGGATGTCAAAGAACACATGGAGGGTTTTTCAAATCTGGTCCAAATCCCAAATTAATCTGTTGTATGAACATGATTGTTGAGACATAGAAAATACACTGATCACTAAACCCTTGTGGTGTTTTTTTGTTCTTTTTAGGTGCTCAGTACATTAAACTGGGCGAGCGCTCTCGAGGAGGAACCCATAGTATATCCACCATCCTCCTCATCGTCAGCTTCATGTAAGTCAAACATGTTTTTACAGCATACCGATCATATGCATTTATGTTTTAAAAAGGAGTTTCTGAGGTTACCCTAAATCATCACAGTTAACGCATTAAAGTGTGTGTGTGTGTGTGTGTGTGTCCTCACATGTGGTTCTGCTCCTTTTAGTAAAACTGTACATCCTTTCCCACTTTTTCTTCCTAATTTAAAGTCTCTCCTTTTTACTCTTATTTTTTTTTTTTTTTAATAATCTCTTTTTTTCGTGTGGTTGTCTTTGTTGAATACGCATCTGAATGCTTCCTTTATTCAGACACTTGGGTATCAATCTTCTACCTACTAACTGCCTCATTATGCCTCTCTTGCTATTCTTCTTCTTTTTCCTTCCTTTCTGCAATTCCTTTTTATGAAAAGGATCTGTATCAGGTTCGTATGAGAGGCTTTGATTTTATTCCACTGGCTGCATAAATGACAACTATGTGATTACTCAGGAAAAATCCACCCTTCTGATACTCTGAACATGAAGCAAAGTCTTGTCTTACGCAGATATGACACAATCTGCGCCTATTTATGGGTATCCATCTATATGCCTGTCATTTATTACCAGCAACGGACACCAACTCCCTCTCGTTACGTGTGCCGCCCTGCTTCACTCTCAAAGTCCCATTTTAAGTCACATCACGTCTTTAGTCGATTTGATCAAATGGGTGGTGGGAAAAAAGGGATGCTGGCCTTCTGGTCCCAGGTGTCAGTTTGTGTAATCGTTGAGTCATCTTTGAACTATTACATCAACGTTTGCGGTAGTCATTTACAAAAATGACCTTTTTGTCTCTGGGTGGAATTTTCCTGCAATAAAACCTGTCATGAAAAAGTGCAGAGTTGCGATAAAATCCCAATATTTGTGGGCTTATTTCTTTATTGGCATTTTGCCGTTCATTCCTTACCGTTTCTCTTCCCTCTTTGTCAGTCTGGTGGTGCTGGTTGCTCTCAACATGCTGCTCTTCTACAAGCTGTACGCTCTGGAGAGAGCGGCCCACACACTGGAGACGTGGCACTCCTATTCCGTCGCCGACAGGTGAGCGCACGGATGTGAACTCTGTTCTCTGTATTGAAGTTATTCTTGGATCTGAGGTGTGAAACATGCAAAAGAGTGTTTTTTTTATATTCAATAAATATTGTTCTGTATCTGCTGGGTGTGTGAATCTACAAATGAGCCGATGTTGAGTTTACAGCTTGTTTCTGCTGACCCCTAGTGGACCGAATAAGAACCCTCACTCCACACGTGTCTCCTCTCCTCTCCTCAGTCCTTTGCCCCAGACGGCTGGAGAGTGGGCTCAGGTCCTGCAGCTGCAGAAGCAGTTTCACCAGGCGCAGCTCAACAAATGGCAACAGATCCTGCAGTCCTCTGTCACTCTTCTCGACCAGGTGTGTGTGTGTCAATATATATAAGCTTTCAACATTCCCCCTGCAAGAAAGCTCATGTCTCAAGCAAACTTCTTATTTGTTGGATTGTCACTTAATTGTTTAATCCCCCCCCCATCACCCTGTCTGTGTTTATTTCCCAGATGAAGCAGTCTTTGGAAAAGCTCCACCAGGGCATCGTGGTCACGGAGGCGCAACAGGATCCCCCTGACGATAACGATGATCAGACCCTGTCAGAATCTGCAACTGAGGCCTGAGCCCCCCCCCCCCCCCCCCCACACAACCCACCCGGCCCCCACCTTTGGAGGGGACCTTTTTAACACCCCCATGGTGGGCGGGGGCGGGTTGAAAAAAAAAGGGGGGTTTTCTTTGGGTGGGCAAAAAGTGTTTTTTTTCCCCCCTTTTTTCGCGGAAAGAACCAGGAGTGGGACATGCAAGAGGAGGAGGAGGAGGGTGGGGTCGGGTGGGCGGAAGAGGAAGATAAGAGAGAGCGGGGGGGGGGGGGCGTTTTACCCACAATTCTCCTCACCTGACTGACTTGAAAATGGCCGGAACCAGTAACGACTTCAGTGAACTCATTCAGACTGGAACCACAGCAATAATTTACCTACAGCTGCAAGTCACCTTTTACGTAGTGAATGGAAACGGGCCACTGGTGGGCCGACGTAGACCATCCACCCCCCTCACCCTCGCTCGTTTCATGACTATCACAGACTTCTGTTCCATTTCAGAGGGATCAGTGATTCTGGAAAGTGGCGGGTCCTCCTGGTTCTGAGATCAGCTCAGTACCTGTTTGCCTCCACAGTGAACGCCTGCTGAAACTATAAAGAGGGGGAGACGCCCCTCCCCCCCTGCTGTGTGTGTGTGTTTGGGAGGGGGGAGCGAGCGAGGCTGCTGCTCCCCACAGCACCCCCCGCAAACACACACGCGTCGCAAAAAGGTGTCGAGAAACATTTCGAGAGCAGACACTTTAGTTTTCAGCTTTATTTTTAGATGTAAATTATACATCTGAAGATGAATCTCAAACACCCCCCCACTGCTCCCAGTGCTCCCAGTGCTCCCAGTGCTGTGGTAGGGCTTTAAGTTTGACCGACAGTATTTATTATTATTACCAACGACGTTCCGCCTGAGGTCCCGCCCCCTCTGGATCATTGTGTGGCTCTGATTTGCTGTTAGAGTACGGACCAAGAGGAGCTGCAACCACTACTTGTCACAGCAATATGGACAATAGCAATGCTAGTACTTTTTGAATGTTTCAAACAAAGTAGTATATAATAATAATAATAGTGATCATGTGTAGAGGCGAAAAACAAAGGATTTTGACATGACTGGTGTGTGTGTGTGTGTGTGTGTGTGTGTGTGTGTGAGAGAGAGAGAGAGAGAGACTGTGTTCATGAGTCCTCGCCATTTCAGATGTTACATTTTCATGTATTAGCGTACCTCTAGTTTGTCATTTCTCTTCCACGTTGGGTGCCTCGCGCTCTTCTTTCAGCACAGAGCCGGATATTAACGGTTGACTTGATCCGGACGTCCCAGACAAAGAGGACCAACCCCAACTCTGTAGGCCCCGGAGACGAAAAAAGGGAATCTGTTTTGCAGTATATGTTTTGCAGTATTGTTTTTTTTTTTTTTTTGCGTGTGTGTGCGTGTGCGTTTGTAAGATTAATTTGAATCACTCGTCTTCTTTTTATTTGATTCATTTTCTATTTTTTTGTTGTTAATTTTCAGTCAGTCAACTCGATGATGTGAAAATATCTCACCTCTCTGGCCCCCTCCCACCCCTCACCCCGCCAACACCTTCTCTCTGAGTTTCACTGAAAATGGCGGCTACATAAGCATGTGGGCCACGCTGTGCATGGCCTTTGTGGGTGAAAACATTGTGTAATATTTATTATTATGGGAGGGGGGGGGTTGGGTATATTATGGGAGAGAGATGGATGAGAAGCGGGGATAATAAACTGTAAAGATGTGATTGCACACCGCTCCCTGGAGAGAAATGAAAAGTTCTAAAACGACTCCTCGCTCTTTGTTTGCTTTTACCTCATAAATATAACTTTTTCTCACTCTTTATTTGGCCACAATAGGTCAGGGATTAGAAAACAATAACATGGAGCCAAATTTGTGTTCAAATAATTTATCAAACATTATTTTAATCATTTTTGAATTATAGTTTTATATCAATGTGATATATGAGATTCTGGAACTGAAATGGTGAGATTTATTTATCATCTAATCGAAAGTAAAATAGTTAATTAAATCAGTTTTTTGAGCTTATGTTTCTCATCAGAATTACAGCCGGTTGAACAAATACAAATGTAAAAAAGTCAGCTAATTTTTCACTGTCAGATGGAGTAAAAGGCAACGATATTAAATTGAAGGTTTTATAACCCCAGTTTTTAATCGTTCATTCTCTAGATTTATGAATTTCTGCAGAGCAATGTTTCCTTTTGATGTCTGTACTTAATTTTCTTCGGGGAGAGACGTGTGAGTATCAACGTCCATGGAAAGAACTGAAGTTCGGACACCACCCGATTTACCATTTTATTCCAAAACAAATTCAACTGAGACATGACTTTTTTTTATTTAACCATAAGGCTTATTTCATTTTTCTTGTGTGTGGATGAAAAGCTCCATTCTGATGACTTCTCGGCTGATGCAGAAGAAATAGGGAGTGTTTGTCCGCTCTGCTGCCCTCTAGCGTTCACCCCAAAGAGAAGCAACAGCTGTTCCTTTACAACAAGGCTTCACCCACAGAGATCAGGACAATCAGCCCCTACGTTTCTACAGAGACAAACACTGAGATCGGTGTGGAATTAAGCTGGAGACAAATTCCGTTGAATGTGACACTTTTGGGTCTAAAATGTAAAAGACCATTTTCTTTTTTTGGTTTGCTCCACATTTGGTATCGGCCTGCAATGAATCTCACTGCCACAGGAAGTTATCCGTTTCTTCCCCAGTCCAATACTTAACCCTGAAAAAAGAAAACATGACTGGCTACGTCATTTTTTCTAATAGGTTCAACCACGAATTTGCAAAGGACTGCATGTTCCTTTTGCACGAGAGCCTCCAGAGACGAGCTAAACATTAAGTAGACTCAATAGTTGTTCCTCACATTCTAATGTACGCTTCAACAAAATGTGGAAGTTAAAAATTCCCCTTAGTACAGAGTGTTCTGCAGCTACGGCTGAAATGATGCTAATCTATTCTATGTTTTTATTTATAAGTAAACTGCTTTTTTTTTATTTATTTTTTTTAGGCATTCTGCTAAATGTACATTTAAATGCTTCTTTCTAATAGTGTTAGATCATCAAAGAAAGAACATTTGCTGTCCAATTTTAAGCCTACAGCTCTTCAACAGTATGAGAACAAGAATAACCGGCGCGTGATGCGGGCCGTAATGAATAGCTGTTCTCCATGCACGCCGTGTGTGTAAATGTAGGCCCGTAATATTGATATGAGATTATCTGTGCGTATACACTAATGTACGGTTGGACCTCCACCCCCCTCCAGCACACAGTTCAGGCTTCTCCACATTTTAGTAGAAAGTAACTCAAAGAAAAGAGGAGTTTCCTCCTCGCTTTGGTCCGGCTTCTTTTTATTTCCCCACATCTGGAGAAGAGTGGGAACCTTACAATACCGGAGCCATCCATCTTCAATTCTTCCTCGACCTGAAGCGGGAACGAGAAATATGTAAATGCCAATGATGTAAAAGTCTGAAGGTGGAGGTTCCTAAGAGGTTGCTCCCTCCCCAAAGGTTAATGGTGTCATTGTTTTAAAGACATTCAATCCGCATTAACTCAACTATTTAAATTTGAGCTGCAATCTTTACACATCAACACTACATTCTGGTGATATATATACTTTTTATTTCATTTTGTTCCCTTTCAACACGGCACTAGTGGAGCTGTAAACACTCTGCACAAGAAACCGCTGTACTCGGACCCACCGGTTCTATTCTGCCACTTGTACTCCTGCAACGGGGTCCTTGCTTTCCGGCGCTACGGCTAAGTACTCCGCCCTGCAGGAGAGGAAACGAGACCAGAGAATCAAGTATCAGAGGGGGAGGGGGGGGGGGCAGTGTTTCATGGGGGTACTCACGCGCTCTCTCTCAGGGCCTCCTCCCCCGCCGCCGATATCTTCCTGTAGCAGTAAACCATCTCGATCACGAGCCACACCTGCAGCCCGACGATGGAGACGTACATCATCACCTCGGACAAGATGGAGGCCAGCCCCCTGGTGACTAGAGAGAGGGAGACGGGGGAGGGAGATGAGGTGAGACATGTCCTACCTGTCTGCCTATTTATATGGACTTATTCACCACAACAAAGATTGTACACCTTTTTTTTTTATAAACAAGTCAAACCCTTGTGTCCTGTAGTGTCGGCCTGTAAAAAAACACCTCCGGGCTTTGAACTTCGCAATAAAAGCACCAACTATAAATATAACCGGCATATACAATTAATATTCTTTCCAGAAAAATGAGCTCTAAACACCTATTATTACTTTTTGAGTTTAAGTCTAGATATCTACTTGTGTGCTGTGACCACGTGGCGGCAGCACAAGGACCCAAATGCAACATTTGCATAAAAACAATGGCTGCTCTTTTTGTACTCACACACTTGTTATGAAGCAAAGATATATTTATTTAATGACTCCTGTTCCGTCCGTGTGACTTATGTAAGTTAAATAAAACGTTTTGTTCAGAAGTATTTGTCCGCTCAATGTTGCGCGGTGCTAACGAGCTAGCGCCTCAGCGGGTCGGGAATCTTACATTTGGGCACCACTTTCACCACGACGGTCTTATTGGACGAGGTTTGAAACTCAAAGTTGGAGTACTTGAGGGTGCGCTTGAAGATGCACTTGTACGTCCCGGTGTCGTTGAAGGTCACGTTGAGGATGACGATGGAGCCGTCCTGGAGGTCTTCGGTGTGATTGCTGCCGTTCCACTTCAGGCGATCGAAGAAACGCGGGTCGCTGATGGCGGGTTTTCCTTTCACGTAGCTGTACAGCTGGAAGAGAATCGCAGTGTGGGATTTCTTTGGAAAAGGAGTCCGGGTAGAAAATAGATGCTGAGCATTCTGCACAATGACGACCGGGGTTTCAGGCATAAGAGTGTTGGGAGGCGTACTGGTGCTTCTGTGAGTCGTAGTCTATTTGTTCTACAAGTTCTGCTTTGCATTGGCGCCGATTGGGCTGGCGACGTGTAGCAATACGTGCAATACGTCAGCAAGACCTCAGCAAACATCTCATGGAAAAAAACAAAACAAAGCCAACAATGTTGGTCCATCTCTCAAAATCGGTTTCTCGTGAGGTTGTAAATCTTCAACCAGCTTTACTCAAACAGAAACAAATCAATCTAATGTTCACACATCCTGTGTGACTTTCTGGGATCTGGGATCTGACTAATGCTCTCTGGCTATTGGCCCCATTCATGTACCCAGTGTGAACAAATAAACCTAGAACACACAGACAGCAGCTGTAAAACAAATGTGTTGTTCCGTGTCGATCAATGTATATCCGTGACGCAAAGTTTGCATTTCACTCTTCTTGTTGCCCTCGAGCAAACAGACCGCCGGCCTCCACATCGACCGAGCCGCGTTGGCATCCTCACATTTACAGGTTGTAGAAGGCAGCAGAAGGCTAATGGGTGTTCTTCCTGCTACGGGGACGTAGCATCGCGGCCTCTTAGCGTCGCCTCGGGAGAGCTGCTTATTTCAGCAAAAGCACTCCGCCATTAAAAATGCAAGACTCTGCTCTCTCTCTCATGCTAAATGTCTCCCAGAAAATAAGAGAAATAACCCTGTTGTGATGGCTTGGTGCTAATTTGGTCATCGTCTTCATACGGACACACAATAACTTGTTAGGGAGGAAAGGCTATAATAACTTATTTCATTACGTAGACAAGTGGGTGTATTGGACCTTAAGATGTTCATTAACAAGCTTCTGAGGTGCTTCTAGACGGGAGCCAAACGAGTCAAAATGCACTAAATCAGCATCTTGTTTTGAAGAATACACGATACTATCGAGTACGAGAGAGAGAACTAGAGTACATTTTTTAGATTTCATATGAGTGACTTCAATCTTCTCATCTAACTTTCTGCAGGAAGGGGAGGGGGGATGCATGTCCCCACGCGCCTCGCTGCTCGCCTAAGCCGTGGTTACCACTCACATTGGTGAAGTTGTCTGCGTCCGAGGCCTTAAAGAACCACTCGACGTAGGCGGTGGCGGGCACCTCGCCCCTCATCTTGCAGGAGATGCAGCCCAGCGTGAAGGCTTCGTTGGCCACGGCCTCCGTGTTGGAGTCCACTTCCACGCAGGCCCCGCGGCACGGAGACGCTGCAGAGCGAGGGGAGCAAGAACAGGCGGTCAGAAAGCTGCCGCGTCACTTCGTTGCTCTTCCCAGGTCACAGGGTTCAGAGGTCAGAGCCCTGGGCGGGAAGAGGCTGATGCACTTTACAAAACAATTTTAGCTCCCGGGACTTTTGTATTTTTGGCGTGCTGGCTCCCAATGCTCATTGCATGCGAGAGTTTTTTTTGTGTATGTTTTTTTTTTTTTCTTGCATTTTTTTTTATTTCCCCTCATATCATCAGTTATATATTTATTCATTTATTTTATTATATAATTTATTAATTATTCTGATTTACATTTTGGGTGTTTTTTAATCAGTGAAACTGAGGGGAGATAAAGAGTTTGCAGTATGTGGTACTAGCTCTTTGCATTCTACCACTCAATAAATAAGCTAAATTCATATATAGAAGCGTGAGTCTATATATGCCTTCATCATCATCATGACACACACTTCGCATCGGCCCGGGAGTTACACACCTGTAACTCCAAATGTTTCTCTCTCACACTGCACCTTGCAGTTTCCACTGAGGCCTCAGCATGGCTCTCAGCCAATGCGCTCGCATTATTGTCAACTTTGATCTCTGGGGTGCGTTCGTTTCGAATTGCGACATGGAGGGAAGGGAGATGAGGGAGAGGAAACATAACGCTGATCAGATGAACTCAAGTCATTCAAAGTTTTGGGTGGGATTGACAGAGGCCGCACATCATCCGTGGCCTGATGTGTGCAACCGTACAAAAAATTGTATCTTTTACTCCCTCGGATCTAAATATCGCTGCACCGAGATTAAACTTTAAAAAGAATGATACACACTGCAGCAGCACACAGAGAGGAGGAAATGAGGAGAAAGTTAGCACAAGCTTCATGGGTAAAAAGCACAGGGGGAGATGGGGAAGCAGGAGGGAAGAAGCCTAAAGCCGACTGATGCACTGCAGAGAGAGAAGGGGGAGGGGAGAGAAAAAGGGGAAGGAATTGGAGAGAAAGTTAAGAACATTATGAACCGCAGGGCCTTTTAATAGATAACTCAAATTGTGTCTAAACAAGTGATTGAGCAGTGCGTTTCAAACCAAACAGAGCTGGACCGCACCCGAGCCTGAATCCAGAGGCCCTATTGGACCTCACTAAGGTTTAACCTCTCAATTCACCTAAAAGCTGAAAAATATGAGCACATCCCACATCAGAAAATCATCAGAAAAATGATCAGAAAATGCTACATTCAGAAAAAACGTCTAATTCTGGATATTGTCATATTGTCTAATTGTGTTTTTGGTTGAGTTACTTAAGAAGCTTTCGACGTTGCCCTGGGCAACTGCAGCAGTGTGTATGTGTTGTATGTGTGTTGGTGGAGAATCACAGTCTATATGCCCGGGAGCTTTCCCAGATTTCTGCGCTTACTTTGATGAGTGCAATATTATAATCAACAAAGATGTCAAAAATGCAAAAAAAACATCAAAGTTGTAATCAGCCAGAATTTGCTTTTAAAGCAGCACCTCAAGGGAGGAAAATCCTGCATGTCTGGACCTGCAGAACAGGGTTGTGGAGTTTGGGGGGTTCTGGGAGGCGCTGAGGGAGTCTGGATTATGACCGACAGACGCGTATCAAACAGCATTTACAGATTCATGTCTTTCAGTTTAATCTCTGATCGAATTGGCTTGAATGAGGCTCGATTGTCCGCGTCAATTAGAGGCTGCCGTTAAAATGCACCAGCTGTCTGCGCTGCTGCTAATCCTCGGTCGCCAATAGAGGTCAACGAAAGTCATTCATCCCTTTATGACCCCGTGAAATCTCACTGGAAAGCATTTCTAAAACAAGCAATGCACATTTGCAACAGCGGACACCACCAAATCAACAGGCTTGAGTTTGACATTAACAAGCACATCGGCGTCCGCTGTGTAGAAAAGACAGGAAGGAAGAGACAGAAAGGCAAAGAGTCGTGGGACAGACACAGTAGCAACATATCGCATGCAGAGGAGCACAGGGGGACGGGGGGGACTGATATGTCACAGTGACTGCTCTGACAAAAGGGGGCGAGACCTGGAACACAGACAGAAGAGACACATTAACAGACATAAATGAAAGAGGACGTCTGAAGACAGGGGAGAGTCCTTCATTCGTGGAACAGAAAGAATGAGGACAAAGAGGGACGGATGGATATGTGAGGCGGTGACCCCGGGGGGAGGCCAGATTGCACGAGGTGAGCACGGACGCCGCTGACTGAGACGGAGAAAGGACGCGGCGAGGGGGGGGACAGCGAGACACAGATGCAAGCAGACACAAAAGGAACTGCTCATCCAAAGTGCGGACGACACAGAGCCTCCGAACCGCCCTCAGCCACAACAGCAGGACACTCGCAGCATCACAGATGAAAATCTATTGCGTAATCTGTGGACCGAGGTTTGGGATTATGCAACGGTTATTCCCGAAATGGCAGATTAGGAGGGTTTTTTTCCCCCCTGACAGGGGGGCTGGAAGCCTAATGCCTCGGGTCATGTTAGTTGCTGAGGCCTACAGAGCAACAAAAAATACAAAACATAAAAAGTAAGTTAACGCTTTAGCTGCAGAAAGGAACGTCCGCCCACTGAAGTTAGCCAGTGTGCCATGTTGTTGTGAGCTATAGAAATACAAAAAGCATCAGGGGCTATTTGCTGAACTGGCTACAAAATAGAGAGAGAGACAGAGGGAGCAAGCGAGATCGGATAAGCGACAGGAAAAGAGATGAGCGAGGACAACATCTGTTTCCGTGGCCGGATTAAAACACACGCAGACACGTAACCCGGGCGATGCCAAGCGGCCGTGACCTTTCCCTCGACTCCGACCGGGCGAGAGACTCTCCACCGGTACAAGGAGGCCAACTGAAGTCTTTCATATTGCTCCGCAGAGCTGTCACAGTGTCTCTGCTGGCTCAAGTGACGGACCACTGGGTTTGTCAGTGGAGAACCAGCTCGAGGGGTCCCAGCATGCATTTCTCTCTCTGCAGCCGCTGCCCCATCGGTTCAACGGGAACCTTTTCTATTTTTTTGGGGGAGTTCTCTTACTACTGCGTAATATAAATACATCAAATATAAAATACTTTTTAATTTCTTAATATTAAAGACAAATATAACCTAAAATATGTTTAGAGAAAAACCCTATCCGCCCTCATGTCTTATGGATTTCATATTGGAATATTTCATTTCTAGCTTCCTGCTGATCTCACTCCTTCCTGTACAAGCTGTGTTCTCTGACGCGCAGGCGCAAAGGCTCTGAGCGCTGCATGTCCGAGGACACGCTGTTCCCTAAAATAGATCCCAATCTGGGATGAAGAATGGGACACAGTTCGTTCTCTTCTCAGCGAATCGTCGACACTGTCCTCCATTCAACTCGTTGACGGTTGGTAACTCGCCAAAGCAACGCTACCAATGATGAACGCAGCGAGGCCCAAGTTCATGTTATAAGTTACACCCGAGGCCCCGAACAGCTGTAAGCACAAAGGGTGTAGCGGAGAAACTGTGAAAAAACTGCTCTGCAGACATTAATATTATGAGCTCTAGAAACAAAATGTTCAAAGTTGAAAATTCACGAATCTTGCCGTAAAAATTGTGCATAGCATTGAAATATTATTGCGTTGAAGGTTCATTTGGCTAACTTGTTAGCATTTCTAAGCTGTTTACACAGCTACATTAGCATTTAGCTGGAGCGATGATATTCACGCTTTCTCAGCTCTTATTTTGGTCTCCTCCAACTCCCTGGGGAAGATTCTTGTCTATTCAGCCTGTTAATACCCTGCACTTTGTTCACCTGAAAGTGGTGGTTTTGATTCCCATCTCCCCCCAACTATACGCTCTCCAGCAGCGTCAGTTTTGGACAGCGTGTCCGTCTCCAGTCTTTACATGCACCCAGTCTAAAATAAACAACAACGCAACCTTTTTATGAGATTTATGTCTCCACCAGACTGGTGAAACACACACGGATCACAGCAGCAAAGTAAAGTAAGTGGGTTTAATGCTAAACATAAATGTGCTAATGTACTATTATAGTAATCAAAAACAATAAATCTATGTGTGCGTGTGTGGGACAGTAGTTAGCAGCGTATCTCTCGTTGTCGATTTGAGTGTTCGAACGGATCTTTCATTAAAATAAATAAAGCCTGAAATAGATAAAAAAATTGGATGGAACCTCCCCAGTTTATTTTTTGCACGTTTTAAAAAACAAATTACGTTCAAAATGCTTTTAGGAATAAAATGTCACAATAAATAATACATTGGACATTGAATAATACATACGATGTGACTCCTCTGTAAAATAAACCACTTTTAGAAATATATATTCCACTCCAACTGAATGATAAGTGAAGCGAAAAACCACAAAAATAAAAAATTGTACCAGTATGTGAAACATTATGTTCGTAGTGTCTCCTCTTAAGCAACAGCATCAAATCTCTTCTCCAGAAAACTCCTGAAGCTGAACTAGAATGAACCTAAGAGGGTTCGTTTATCCGTCTAGTAGCCGTGATCAGTTTACCTTCCAGCCGGCCACTTAAGACCAGGATTCACCTTCTCCGTAATGTGGTTATGGAGCTGTGCGGTGGTGTTGGAGTGGGGCGATGGAATGGGCGTCAATCCATACGACTCTTCGGGGGCAGGAGGTTGCCGGGGGGAGGGGGGTGCCAGGGGGAGGGAGTGCTGTTCTAACATCCTGTTTACTGGGGTCTGCTCTTACCATACGTTTCGTGCACGAAACCCTTTGCAGACTAAATGTCTCTCTGCAGCGAGCATCAGTTACACACCGGATGCTCTAATGGGAGGAGAGGAAACTTTCTCAGTTTCTGCTGCTTAATGGTTGCATTTTCTGGGGGCACCTTGAGCATCACAAAAGAAGTAAACCACAACTAGGTGTGCTTTACATTTCGCAGCCGTCACCAAAATACCAAATCAGATGGCGCGTGTCACAATAGAGACGTCTGTGCGAATTCTTCCAGAAGCTTCTTGAATTCCATTGTTTACTGTGTGTTCCGTTCTTCTGTGCTTGAGGAGATTCCATCCAATTTCACGTATGGTCTTACATTCTCATCCTCCCAGATGTGCATCACCATCAGTCCTTAACTAACCCGCCGCCTCCTCAACCAGACTGTCTGTTTGTGTCACTCCAGCTTTATGTAACCTCTCTGTGTCGACCTGCTCTCCCGGATAAACTGCCAAAGGAATAACTACATCCCTTTTATTGCTAATATTTTTCCCAGAAGCTGTGTTGTGGTTTGGAGCGTTGTCGTCACAGAGTGTGAGACAAAGAGCAGCTGGCTGCGCTGATGAGTGCTCCGTAAATCTCTCTTTTAATGCATTGCTTCCTTTTTGTGCTCAACTTTAAATCACAGCGCTTAAAATCAGATCATCTGTGGCGACAACATGCCAAATTAAAAAAAGCGCTTGGCAGGCAATGTGTGGAATTAAAGATGTGAAATAGATATATACATATTAAGGATGAACCCGGTTTGTACAAAATCAAAGCATTTAAAGAAAAAGAGTTTGTTTCAGCAGTCAATTTAATCTTATCATTTTACATTTATTCTTCTTTTAAACTATTAGTCGATTAATTGATTAGTCGAGCCAAAGAGAGAAACTATTCTGATAATTGTTGACACACCTAATGTTCTCTGATTTCAGCTTCTCCAATGAGAGAAGATGCTGCTTTTCATCTATTTTGCATCACTCTTACGTGAATGGATTTGAGCTGTTGTTCGGATGCATTTAGGAATCTTGGAACTATTATTTAGGAACTAAAACATCGATAGTGACTATTGTTCGAGAACAACAACGACTGTGATCGTGTGTGTGTGTGCACCACAAGGCCTCACCTTATTACTTTACCATAAAAAACTCAAACAGCTGGGCCTGTGGGCAATCCAGCCCCCGCCCAAAAAACAACGACATACAGACGGAGCCAACATCAGACAACAGGAAACACCTGTACCAGAGGAACAAACTGCCAGTGAATGGGATGGAGGCACAGGTGGGGAAGGGGGGAGGGGGGGAGGGGGATTGAAGGTCGGCTCACGCCGTCGCCGTGGAAACGCAGCCGTAAACCACTCACCTTGTAGCGCCAGGAGGGCCAGAGATAGCAGCAGCTCCAGGACTGCAGACATCCTGACAGAAGAACAGAGACTGCCGGCGGCTCCCGGCGTTGTCAAAAAACACACCCGGCAAACGCACACACACACACACACACACACACACACACAAACACAAGCACACTTCAGAAAGGGAGACACAACTCGGATCTAGACAGCAGCTATTCCAGCTTGGTGGTCAAATCCTCTACGATGCCAAAGATGTCCCCACTAGCATTACAGGTGTGGGAGGTGAGAGGAGAGGAGACTCATGGTGCTTTGGGTGTGGTCCACTCGGGGGTCTTCCTCTTCTTCTCAAGGAGCTGGTTCGAGGCGTGGGGGATTCTTCTTCTTGCTTATCTGGTCTCCAGCACAGTGGAAAGCGTTTTCCCCTGCCGCCCTCAGGATCCGAATCACTCCGTCCAGCCTCTGAGTGTGCGAGAGTTCCCAGAGGGACGGATCACTCCGTCTCAGATTTCTGCCTTTTTGTCCGCACCAAAGGGGCCTTTGTTCGACTATTTACCCATTAGCCTGTTGAGCTCCACAATGTGCACCAGATAACGCCAGGACACTGACAAACCATCGGCCGATGGACGGCAGTGTTGGCGATTATCCACGTAGGCCAGCAGAAGACGTCTGGTCAGAAATCTGTGGTGAAGACGGAAGACGCAGCATGTGCAGGGGCGCGTGCTGCAGTTAAAAGCTCTATTACCGCGTAAATGAATAATGCATGTATGAACATTCAGCTGCACTTTTCCCCTTATGTGCAACTATGCATGAGGACAGAAAGAAGGGACGTTGCTTAGTGGATCCACAGCCTGTGTGGGATGAATGGAAGCATCTTCCCGCTCGTCTCCACCTCGCTCTGACTTTGGAAGAAGCTGCAACTATCCCCCTATTTTCAGCAGTTGTATTAAGAGTTATTGCTCTCTTTCTACAGTCCACATTGCAGAGGTACAACTACATATCTCTCATCATGCAAAGTCAGTTTACTCCTGCCGGGTTTGCTCATGTAGCAGCCCTGCTGCCCATGCGGGTCACCGGTGCATGACTCCAGTCTGGAGTGCGCCGTTCTGACGCGCTGTTGCGCAATAGCGTGTTGACGCAAGAAACTAGAAATTTAAAGTTGGTAAAAAGAAAATCCTGTCGGTCCTAAAAAACAAAAAAAATCAAAATAAACGCAGCAAAGCGTTTGCGTTGTGTGCGTTTTCCCCCCGTCACGTCTTGATCCGTATTCATGGGCCGTCTGGTCCTGATTGACGGCTCAGAGGATGACGGCTTCCATCCCGCGTCGGGCTGTCAAACGATGGAGGAAACTCACGCCGGGGACCATCGCGCATTTAAGGATCAGCGGACGGACCAAAAAAGGCATAAACAACTCGTACTTCTTGTTGCTCCTTAAGAGTCGCGCGTCTGGAAGGTCTGTTCCGAGACGCGCGCGTTCCTCCTGGAGAACGACAAAAAGGAAAAACAGTAATCTCGAGAGATGACGCCGTGTGTCAGTCTTTGGTCAGGTTGAAGGCTGCAGGGAGGCTGAAGGGGGTGCATATGGGGGGGAGGAGGAGCGAGGGTGTGATACGTCGCTGGAGAAGGATGGAGAAAGAAGAGGAGGAGGAGGATGACGGGGAAGCCTAGAGCCGTTGTTATGGCAACAGGGTTTCATGTGACGCGTTCATTGCTTCCAGAAACCACCACGTGTTGGCAAAGAGAAAAACAGGTGGACTTGAGAATCATCTGATGTGAAGAGTTTCACGTTAAACACATTGAATCAAAAAAGAAAGGTTAGAGTTGAATATGTTATTCAAGGTTGTACCAAAGGTCCATGTGGAAAAGATTTTTACATTAACAATATCAACGATTTAAAATATAAACAACAACATTGTTTATGAGATGAGAAGCAGGGCAGCGGAAAGAAACACCTGCAATAAATCCTCCCTCCATCAAGATTTTATTGTCCAGGTCTTACTCACCCTGTTTTTTCCATCTGACACTTCAACTGACAAACAACAGGTTTTCAACCCTCTTTTCACTGCTTTCTGTCTTAGTCATTATCACACACATAAAAGAGCACGTGCACGTGTGACATAACTACAGGTGCACTGACTCGCTCTCTGACTCAGTGAGGGGAATCAGTCCAGTCAGTGCGTGTGTGCGTGTATGTGTGTGTGTGTGTGTGTGTGTGTGTGTGTGTGTGTGTGTGTGTGTGCCCATGTCACCATGCCAGCAGTGAGGATTATTGTGCTGATTGCATCCTTGTCCTTCCTCTGACAAATGTGCGACCAGGTCTGTCCAGAATAAATGCAATGTGCCCGTTGATACTCTGCCTGCAGTATAGACAGTGTACATGGTGGACGTGTAATTAGGAAAATGCGTGTTATTTTCCCTAAATACGTAAACAGTGTTTTGTGGCTTTCTTTAATCCGGAAACACCCACTTTAAAATAAATCATTATATTGCTTCCTTTAATGCATTTTTCGCACGATATTACCCAACTGTACAGGTTCGAGACAACTGCACTTTGGCAGGTTGTGCCCCTGAATTAAGATGCCGCCATGTCAATACTTGACGGAGCAGGATAAGTTATACATTCAGTAAACAGTATTTACATTCTAAGTGCTCCCCTTTTTTAACCAGACCCGATTCTCCCCGTCTATGAAGATGCCTCAGGCGGAGTCTTTCCGTTTCAGCCAGATGTTGGCAAACATCTGCACACCAGCAGGGCAGCTACGAGGCTCAGCAGGATGACGATGGGCACCAGGAGGAGAGACACGTACAGGAACCAGGGCTCTGGAAACGCACCTCGCCCTGACGAGACACAAAAGCACCCATATAAAGCGCCTGAGATTACAGAATGTCGCCTTCTCTTTGCATCGCTAGATTCCGCGAGGTCTACAAATGTCTTTTTGTGATGTGTGTGACACATTTTTCCTTTGAGCAGACTCACCCGATGAAGCGTCGCCATCAACTCCAGCCATTAATAAGAAAAATGGCAAACGGGTGTTATTGACATTCCTGTTCAAAGAAGCCTTGAAATAAAACACTCTGTTGTTTTAACGCTCCAAGCTTCTAGTTAGAAGAGGACACTTCTAAGTAAAGAGACTACTCATGGCGTCTTTTGTCTTATTTTATCATCTTCGGTTCAAAGATCCTTACCAGGTGGAGGCTGGTGGAAGATACTTTTGGTTATGAGATCTCGGTTCAGGCGCAGCTCACACACATATTCTCCATGGATGCTCAGGGGGACAGTCTCACTGAGGGTGACGAAGGGAGGGGCCCCTTCCGCGTATCCCCGAGCAGAGGCGTTGGATCGGAGTCGGTCTCCGTTTTGAGAAATGGACAAAACTAATCTGGGGTCGTCGGTCACGTTCACCTCGCAGCGGAGCAGAGAGACATTGTGAGCGGTGGAGTTAAATATCATGTTGTCTGGAAGAGAGGCAGGGAGATACTCAGGTGTGAAACACACACTCGCACACACACACGCTTCTGCATTGACGGTTCTGTCTGATTTCATTAAATTCTTAATTTAGAGCCGCCATCTGGTGTGCTCGTGTTCACGTGTACAAGGAATCTGGATTCTAATACGGACTAGTTTATCCTCATCCTTTCCTTTTAGTGTATGGCTAAAAATGTCATATCAACTGTAACTATCAGCGGAATTTAACCATTTTTTATCATTTTAATTTAAGTTAGAAATATCAGTTCATTCTCTTAATCACTGCACTCAGGCTTCTATATCTCGTCTTCTTCACTCATATTGCATTAAAATAAAGGCCAGAAAGGGATCTTTTGTTAGAGCTAAAGCAAAGGAACGTAAATGATCATTTAAATAATATATTCATATGGGCCCATGTGTATCATCGACACTACAAACATCATGCGTATCGTCAATGCTGTCTAAACAACCCAAAACGTTTGTATTCACCATAAACGTTGAGCAAAGTTGCGTTTCCCCTCATCCTGAAGCTCCTGCGGCTCTGTGTGGTGATGGAGAGTTTGCACAGGTACGTCCCGCTGTCTTCCCACCGGACATCCTTCAAGACCACGGACTTGTTAGAAGTATTCCGACTTTTGTCCACCAGGTCGACTCGCCCTATGTATTTCTTAGAGGGGGTCCACAGTCTGGAATGGTTCCGCTCCCAGTACAGAACCGGCCGGCCCACCATTGTCTCATCGGGGGAGAGATGGAGAAAACACGGCATCGGGACGTTGTCACCCAGAGCAGCAGTGATCACAGGAGGCTGGACCACCGTGACCAGGCAGCGAGTTCCTAGAAAACAGGTTTCCCGTCACAAGTCTGCCTTCATCTTCTTGTTGGTGACTTGGAGCCATGCGTCTGCGGCGTTGTTTGTTTATATCCTGTTAGCTTTTTACTTCTGCCGATTGCATATCCTCTTCATGCATAAAAATTGTGTTAATTTATGGACAACTGAACGTGGCTAAATATCGCTAAATTCGGTTTGCCATAGGGATTATAATCTACAATAATCTAAAACCCCTTTGTCTTGTTGTGCAATGCTGTCTTCCTGGTGGGCCTACAAACAGATGTTTTCCCTCAGCCGTCTGTATAGAGAACTATTTGGATTTCTGGTCATTTAGGGTCACCTACATTCTATATTTCAGATTAACTGAGCATTGCACCTGTGAGATGCATGTAGCGGTAAAAACATTCTGTAAACAATTGTCTTGTGCTAAAAGCCAGGTCGCAGTGGTTGACCCTGAGATGGAGAGAGATAGAAAGATTTAGGGTTTGCAGCTGTGTTTGGGGAAGGGGGTCATCTTGCTCTCACGGACCTTCGATCAGAGGAGCATTGTGTGTTACCCTCAGCTTCACCTGAGTTCTTATCTCAACTTGATTTGTGGCTTCTCGAAACTGGCGCTAAGAACTGTCTTCAAGTGTGTAAAAACGCAGCGTTTTTACTGCTCGGGGACGCCATTACACAGAACGCTGGAATACGTGCTGGTGTGTTGGACCTCCTGCTTGCAAGCAATAGTTAGAGCCAGATATCTGCGGAGAATTACTCATGTAATCTTTTTCTCTTCTAAATAAATGTTAACTTTTTGACTTTAATTGATCAACGTGTGGCGATCCTTCTCATCAACCAACTCAGGGGGGATCAGAGATCCTGACATGACCTAATTTGGACAAACAATGACCCAAAATGATGTACAGTGGAAATAAATGTACATGGATTTTTAACTTCCGCCGTAGATATGTGAGGCAATGATTTATTTACAAATAGTGGACGAATGAAAATAAAAAAGAGAAAGAGAAAGATTCACATGTTCAGCGATTAAGCTCCAACCTTTCTCCCTTGACTGACTAGTAAGAGAATTCTAATATCAGCTTTTGCTTTTGTTCAGGCTGGTTGGACATTTGTGTCTACTGTGAATGTTGGTTTCAGATTTCAGTTGAATTTTGCGGTCATTTTTGGTCAATTGCAAGATATTAACCCCAAACCTGTGAAGAGGTCACATGGCAACTTGTTTTATACTTCTATATTTATGTTGGCACAGAGTTGCTGCACGACCTTGGAATATTTTAACAAAACGTTTTGAAATCTTTTAAAGGAAGACAAAACCTTTGATAGAAAGACATTAAGGATATGTACTGTATATTCAGGCATCTGAATTTAGCATACGCACAACTTCCTCTAATCAGTTCCGTCTTCTCCTCTACATTTACGATCTTAACCAACAAATATGACGTAAATTATTCATTTTTTTTGAATGGCGGTTGAGAGTGAACATATTGTACATCTGTGTCAATACCACAGTAAGGAAACCACAAAAGAAAGGTTGGAAATGCAAAAATTATACCAGATCACATACCGGAAAAAACAGCATGCGTCTCTACTGGAGATCGGATTTGAGAAATAAAACACACATTTGTCATTAAGAAATATTAAATATCTGTCAATAAAAGAACTGTACCTGTGATCATAAAGCAAAAAAAGATCTGCTGTGTCCATCTCCATCTCGTCAATATGTGATGCATCTCGGACAACGTGATCTCTTAAACATGCCGATGTGAAGGTACGACTTTAGCTCCTCTGAGTGCAGACAGATGAAGCATATGAAGGCGTGTGACACGCCACTCCCTCAGAGGTAGGAAGATGTTCTGATCTTCTGACGCCTTTAAAATGTCACTCAGTACAAACATGGAATTTCCTAACTTGTCCAAAGCATTTAAATGAATTAGGGATTAAGTTGGGTTTAGGGTTTGTGTTTGAAAATGAAAGCACAGTAACAGGAAGCGGTTTGAAGAAAATAAGGACATTTTTTTGTTACATTAATTTTGTATCGTGAAATACACATTGGACAAAGATATCTCCACTCAGGGTCTTGTTGCTTGCTAGTCGTAGAGATTACTACTACATCTCATTATCATTATCTTCATCAGCTGAGGAAGTTGGCTCAACTTCATGAAACTTCAAGCGCTTCTTGTTCCTGCTTTTGTAAATGTATGGAACATGATGGTCAGTTCTTCATCTTTGAAACAGAATTAATCATGATTCACGCTCAAGGATTCATTTATGATAATCTTCAATTTTTATAACAAACAGGAAAAATAAGCTCAGCCTTGAACGGAAACTGTGGGTAAACCACACTGTAAAAGTTGTGAAGACCACCTCTGCAAAAACAGATCACAGCTTACTGTGTGCACACTTGCACAGGCATCGAATTTCTGGACTTCTGTAAGACCTTTTGTAGTCAGGATGCGTAATTTTGTGGAAATCAGAAGAATTATATACAATTGATACTTGCAATTTATTATATAATTTTTAGATTTTATTTAAAGTGGGAGCATGCTTCTCATCTGGCTGTCAGTAAACCAGTAGTAATATGATCTGTAAATCTAAGGGGATGGGAGTTACCCAAACATGGTAAAACCACATAACAGATGAAAAAAGTGTCAAATTTAAAATGAGCAGGCTGTTTTGTGCAGGAATGTATCTCACACTTTTCAAAGTGATTTAGATCCAAAGTAATTACAAAGTGTATGTTTCTATTGTTTTTATGTATTTTATAAGACCAATTTCGACGATATGTACATTTTCAAAAATCGTTGAGCACAGTATTTGTAATGTTGTCGCTTATCATTGTGTAAGCATAAAAATAATACCCTCAAACCCAGACATGAACTCCATTACCCATAAAGCCCCTCTGCCAACGTATGACGTCATAACGTCAGACGGGAGATATTTCAACATGGAGGATATCGTAGCTGTGGAAAAGAGCCCGGTATGATTTAGTGAGATTGTTTCCCGGTTTTCCTCCTTAAGTTATCGAGTTTTTCTGGTAGGCCTTCGTGAATTTAAGTGTTTTAGTAGCACTGTTGTTGGGTGTTTGTCTCAGTATTTGACCGTTTGTTAGCACCGCAACGTAAACCTGCCAATTCATTCTCTCTTCTTTTTAACGTTAGTTGCAATGTCATGCAAGTTAGCTGCTAGCGTTAGCCCTGCTATTGTTGAGCTTGAGAGAATTGATTTGTTGCGACGACGATGGGTTTTTATAAAGCTATACATAACGCAAATATATGTGAGGTTGTGTTATTATTTGCCGCGGTGTCGCAAAAGGCTTTAAATCATCTGGTTTTGCGTTTACGAACACTTAAAGTAAGCTAGCGGGTGATGAGCTAACGGACGTTAGCTAAGCTAGTGTTTGTCTTTGATAGGTGTAAAGTAATAACACAGCTTACAGATTCTATACGGTTTGATTCTCAAATGCAGTCTTATGTTCCTGAGCTGATTCTAGTCTTTACCATTTAAAACATCTTGTCGTTGCGTGAAGTAGAGTAAACTATCTTCGTTTGTTGTGTTATGGTAAATGTAATAGTTTCTACTGATGCTTTTACCCCTAACAGGACGAGATGCCTGCAATTCTGACCTCCAGACCCCAGACAGGTCTTTCTTTCCTGGCACCAGAACCAGAAGATATTGAGGATCTTTACAGCAGATACAAGGTACATTTGTGTTTAGTGACTAATTCTGCTGCCTACCAGAAGAAAATGCGATGTGTTTCATTTGGTATGACTTTCACAGAATTTTTCACATGCTGTAAATATGGACTTGGACAGGCCAATGCTAGTTTACCATCCTAAGTAATGATCAATGACAGATTACATGTCAGACCGTGTAACATTCTCTTTAGATCTAGGCTATTGTCGTGCACACAGTGTTTTAAAGTAATCTTGTATTCCTCTCTTTACTGTTATTTTACCCCAAAGTTTGTTTCCAAATCT